GGTCTATAAAATACAAGCCATGCTTTTTTAATATACTCCTCTACTATGCTTCACCACTGTGCCAATCTTAAATGATTTATTTAAATAATTGTATAATAATTTGTAAAATGTTTGGTTTATATTATGTTATTGAATTTGTATACTGCTTATTCATTTGATTATGTAATATCATGTGGAAAATAAAAAAACCTTGAATTAAGCATTAAGAGTAATCATTGACTCATACAGAAGTATTCTTGGCTTACGCCAACGCTTACACAATATTCTGTTGGTACCAAATCCAAACATGAGATACTTATATAACTGAAACATATATACACAATGTGAATCAACAATTTTTACACAAGTTGACTGAAATATATTATCATAGTTCGATCATAATTATCATATAATAGTTACGATAAATGCATCAATAATTTAAATGTTATCAAATTATATTCTTCGAGAAGTTCTTAATTAAATGTTTTTCGAAAGCTTTTTCGCTGAACACTTTCTAATACGATTAAACAAATTTTACGTGAAAATAAGATTCAAATAAAATCAATTCAAAGAGACTTAATTAGTATTTGCTGTGAAGACACGGGACATTATAATCTATATGTATACACAAATCAGCTTCATCGCTATAGTTTACTGACATTATCTTTTGGGGCGACAGAGAGCTTCAGAATTAACTCGTAATGAACTCATTTTATAATTATAACCCAATTCAGCTACAACCAGCACTTATAATTATACACTATATGCGATCAGTGCAGGTATTTATACGGAGCAAGCAGTATGCTGGTATACCTCAGTAAATTATTTATTCTGTCATAACACCCATTAATGATGACCCTAACCTCCCCCTCCTTGTTCTCCCTCTCTCCCTCTCTCCCTCTTTCTCTTTCTTTCTCTCTCTCTCTCTCTCTCACTCTCTCCCTCTCTCCCTATTTCTCTTTCTTTCTCTCTCTCTCTCTCTCTCTCTCTCTCTCCCTCTCTCTCTCTCTCTACCTCTCTTTCTTCTCCTCTCTCCCTGTCTTTCTCCTCTCTACTCATTTCTTTAAACCTACACATAAGCTTTTGTGTTTTTTTACGTCAGTGTCAGAGGGGAAAATCATATTGCATATTGAATATGGGGTGCGTGCAGATCTATGTTTTTTAACAATTTATCTGAATTTACAGCATATTTCTTAATTACTAATGATTTAGTTATATGCAATTCATTTAGAAAATACTACAAATGTAAATTACCGGTTACTAGCTACTTCGTATAAATTACATTTCATTAAACATGAATAAGGGAAACATTAACTATGAACTAAAATACTTTCAATAAAATACAAGTAGCTAAAAATTTTCGATTAATTAAATTATGTAAGTCTACTTATTAACAATGCCTTTACATTGGAAATACAGACGTACCAGTATTGAAGTGTTGTTGCCGTTCAACTGGTTGGAAGTTTTAACAAATGGTTTTAATGGCTCAGCTAGACAAGTTGAATTCTACCTGGCCTGGATCAACTGGTTCATTTAGCCCATTTTAATTTCCAGGGTTACCAGTTGGCATTAACTGGTTCATCAACTGGACCAGTTTGCAACTAGCTTTCTCTTCTGGGATGTTTGTTTGATATTGACGTGATTTTCACGTGATTTTGTTTATTGTTTTACCTCCCTCTCTCTCTGTCTTTCTCTCTCCCTTCTATGCTAGGAAAGTTATCATTTGTTATTATTATTATTTCCATTATCTGTAAGTGGTTTGTGTATATACCTACGTTACAGACAAACTTTTTGTTTTGTAGCGTGGGGGGGGGGGTGTAATTACGTAAGCATCTTTATACATATATTTTCTAATTATATTACAGAGCACTTGTAACTTTTTTTTATATTCTCAAGGGGTCTATAAAATACAAGCCATGCTTTTTTAATATACTCCTCTACTATGCTTCACCACTGTGCCAATCTTAAATGATTTATTTAAATAATAGTATAATCATTTGTAAAATGTTTGGTTTATATTTTATGTTATTGAATTTGTATACTGCTTATTCATTTCATTATGTTATATCATGTGGAAAATAAAAAACCTTAAAACCTTGTAACCAGGAATCAAGCATTAAGAGTAATCATTGAATCATACAGAAGTATTATTGGCTTACGCCAACGCTTACACAATATTCTGTTGGTACCAAATCCAAACATGAGATACTTATATAACTGAAACATATATACACAATGTGAATCAACAATTTTTACACAAGTTGACTGAAATATATTATCATAGTTCGATCATAATTATCATATAATAGTTACGATAAATGCATCAATAATTTAAATGTTATCAAATTATATTCTTCGAAGTTCTTAATTAAATGTTTTTCGAAAGCTTTTTCGCTGAACACTTTCTAATACGATTGCACAAATTTTACGTGAAAATAAGATTCAAATAAAATCAATTCAAAGAGACTTAATTAGTATTTGTTGTGAAGACACGGGACATTATAATCTATATGTATATACAAATCAGCTTCATCGCTATAGTATACTGGCATTATCTTTTGGGGCGACAGAGAGCTTCAGAATTAACTCGTAATGAACTCATTTTATAATTATAACCCAATTCAGCTACAACCAGCACTTATAATTATATACTATAAGCGATCAGTGCAGGTATTTATACGGAGCAAGCAGTATGCTGGTATACCTCAGTAAATTATTTATTCTGTCATAACACCCATTAATGATGACCCTAACCTCCCCGTCCTTGTTCTCCCCTCTCCCTCTTTCTCTCTCTCTCTCTCTCTCTCTCTCTCTCTCTCTCTCTCCCTTTCTCTCTCTCTCTTTCTTTCTTCTCCTCTCTCCCTGTCTTTCTTTCCCCCTCTTTACATTTTCATATATACATATACAGTGCGTCTCTCTCTCTCTCTCCCTCTCTCTCCCTCTCTCTCTCTCTCTCTCTCTCTCTCTCTCTCCCTCTCCCTCTCTCTCTCTCTCTCTCTCTCTCTCTCTCTCTCTCTCTCTCTCTCTCTCTCCTTACCCCACTTTCTCATCTCTACTCATTTCTTTAAACCTACACATAAGCTTTTGTGCTTTTTTTTTTACGCCAGTGTCGATCAGAGGGGAAAATCTCCGACCGCGTCAAATCTCGGGATAGAAACACGATTACAAACGACATTTTGAGTGACATAAACACTGTGGCAACAAATTGTCGATACATTTTGTCTTTCACTGTGTCCTCTTTTCTTTACTATTTTCGGGAAATACATCCCAAAATAATAATTAAAAAGTAGTCTGAATATGTACGTCTTGATCTTTGCACAGCCGTAAATATGAATTAAGCGGCCGGAGATTCTCGTCTTTGACCCCAGCTTCTCACTATGTTAGATATGCCACTGATTAGTATGATGATAGTTATGATTCCATTTTTCTTCTCCTATTAACTAACACACTGTGGCACTACATTAAGTCAATTACAATAATTCAGTACCTAACGGTAATATACCCTTACCTTCTATTTTAAAAAGGTACATCCGATTACCACGCACTAGTGCAGGCATGTCTCATGGAACGCTTATTCGTATTATACCCGCATCATTTAATTCCATAACGAATGCATCGACAGGAGAGGGTGTGAGGGGGGGGGGGGCGGGGGATGGGGCATAATGACAAATCGTATCAAAATGCTTAGTCGGAAAATCATAAAACGTAGGCAAATTTGAACCTATAACACTTGTAGGCATATTGATTTCTCTAGATCCTGTCTGCAATTGAAAGGTTACAGATGTGTTTTTACCGATATCGACAATTTAAGTCCGATGGTAATATGACGATGGAGATGATAATGTTCATCACTAGTTCTCTATAATGTGTTAAAAACAGCAAAAAATGATATATATGATTTGGCGAAGAGAATCAAGTTTAATGTTTTGCAACTATTATGGCGATTATGTTTTGATTAGATAATGGGGATGGTGATGAGAGTGGTTAGTTAGGATGGTGGTGACGATGATGGTGATGACGAGATGACGACATTGATATGATGATGGTGATGATGGTAGTAATTGTAATGTTACATCATTGATAATGATTATAATAATGATGGTGATGATGACTGTGGTGATTTTGTAGCAGAGGTGATGTTGATGGCGATGAAGATCATTACTGTGGTTATGATGGTGCTGATGTTGCTGCTGATTATGATGACAATGTTGGCTATGATAATGTTAATCACTAGTTCTCTAGAATGTGTAAACAAAAATGAAAAAGCCAAAATGATATACAAGTTTTGTTAGTGTATATAAGTAAATCAAGTTTAAGTTTATTTTATTGGATCTCTTTCCTTTACGTTGATTAATGGTGAATCTCATTTTTTTTTTCGAAATAAACGTGATAAGAAATGAAAAGTAAAAGTATTGCGGTATAAAAGAATACAAATCTTCTTGGCTAATTGATGAGTAGATATACCACATTATCGTTCTTACGCAGAATATCACTTGGGATTTCCCATTCTTATATCATAGCGTGATTATATCAGCAAGTTGCATATCACCAAATAACCAATCAGCAATGACAATCCTCGCAAGTCATGAATATTCAGCAGCTGAAGCCAAAATATCGGATTGTCTCTCGACCTCAAGTTGTCCGCAGAATGAGTTGATTTATTTACCTTTCAGCAAAGGGGGCTTCTTCCATTAATTTTCTACATGTTCGGCACACGAAGAGAATTTGAAAGATTTAAGAAATTCAGTTAGGGGTCTTGATTCCCCTACCCCCCCCCCCCTTATATCGCTATTAATTACCAGCAACAAAAATGTGAAACTATAAACGAGAATTCTCCAACACAGATCTTCGACCTATGGAACTCGCCACTTCCCCCTTTTGATACCCATGTAGTAATGATCACGTGTATAGCAAGGCGAGGCTAATGAATATTCATAAGATGATGCTGATTGCGAATTTAAAACTACCCTCATCTTTGGAAATCCCAAGACTTGGATTCTGGTATAAATAGGAGCGAGCTGGTGAGAGGGTGTTGTCTTATTTCTTTCACCACTGCAACAAGAAGGCATCAAGGGGTCCAGGACCAAGTCCCTTCTCAGCAGTTTCTCAACCATTCCTGTTTTCTAATCAGTGCTTGTTACAAGGGATTTAGAAACACACAACGCTGTTGGAGAGTTGCAGTAAGAAACAGAGGTAAGTCTCCTTCAACATTGCATTTCATTTACCAATTCAATTTATTCTTTGAAAATCGTTAAAAGTATAATTAAAGTTACCTACGTATTAAAGACAATTTCCCATTAAATTCAAATTGTCGTTTTCTTTTGAACATTATAACATCTATCTTTTATAAAACAGAGACAAATACAGAAAGCAATGTGAGCTGTATTCCTAGCTGTGAATACTTAATCAAACGGAAAATATATACCTGTATATAAAGTAGCATATAGAACTGTCGTTTATTTTAGGCCTACATGATGACTGTGTTGTGTGCTCAATTGGGTCTTCTCAAGAAATATTAATAACTTAATACTAAAGCAGGCAATTAAATATAGTTTTTTTTTTTTCATTGTTCGTCTTTTTTTCTCAGTGTCACACAATGTCAAAGAAATATTAAACGTTGAATGAGATTGAATTTTCTTTTATAAATAAATATACTTTGGTAAATTCAATATTCCACCTATGTACAGAAAAAAGATCGAACAATCCGATGTCAACAACTTCACAAAGTAAATTTGATCCCAACAAAATTGTAAACATGGAGCACATTACTTTGTAGTATTGTCAAATCTAATGATTTTGTCATTTTATATCAAGTTGAAGCTGCGACAGATAATGCTTTTCAGTGCAGTATGCGTATTTTATTAGACAACTCTCTGTCTGTTTATTTCGCCGAATTTCAAAAATATTCATTTATTTGCTCATTGGAGAATATTCCGAACGATTCAGCTGAGTGCTTGTGATGAAAATATTATATTTGTTATTGGTTATCAATGTTAACCTTTGTAAATGTAAACTTATTCTACTTTTAAAAAGCAAATCAAATCATCAAATGTTATGATAGTGCTAAGTGAAATATTCTTTGCCTACTTTGTAAAATTGCATCGACTACAAAAATTCCAGGCATAGCTATATTTTATGCTGTAAATTAATGTAACAAATTAAATTTGTATCATCATCATCATCATTTTTGTTGAATTACGTGTTCATATAAACTTAAAGTTGTTAATTTCATTCCTCCACCCCACACAAATACGAAAGTTAATTTATCTAAATACTCAAATAACCATTTTGGGACCGGTGTGAGGGATGCCACATAAATGGATTTAGAACATACAAACAACTTCAATTACTGTATTTACCCATCATCAAAGTTCAAGATAATCACTGGTCAAATATAATTACAAAATTTCAAATATAATTGCCCTTTTGCACTAGATTTTTATCATAGTAATCGTTTAAGTGTGTCATGTACATTCGGTGTTTGTTTTTAAAAGATTTGCCGTGAACTGTGATTGTTTAAAATGGTTTGATAGAGATATTTGAAATGGTTATATATATATAATAGTACTCTTCATATTCGTAGATATGGAAAATAGATTATTTAAACTATCTATAATTTACTACATTTTTATTAGGCCTATTCTGATGTAATTCTGTCAGAATCTATGACAGCCGAGATCGACTATTGTCCCGAAAGCCCTTCTCTTTTCCCGTCATAAAATTACAAAATTGACGATAATGTTCAAACTACGTGCACATTTGCAAGTTATTCTACCTTGTGACTACTAATACCGTTATTTTAAGGGATCCGGTAGGCTTTAAGACCGTCTTGAGTAATGCTAAAATCTCAGTGAAAAACTTTTTGTCTAAATCATGCCATTTCTTTGTAATAAGCACAAGTTATCATCAAAGCTTACCGTTACTCCGCTTTTCAAATATAATTATATGCCATTAACGTATCAAATTCAGATATTCACTGTCATGCAACTTTCGTATTCAAAGTGTTTGTAAATCCTTTTTTCCCCTTCAATATAGTCTAGTATACGTTTTGTGGATTAAAAAAAAAACTAACAGAAGAAAATGAAATGAAATGGATTTCTAAAAGTATTCAGTCTTATTCTGAAGAAAAAGGAGTACAGCAAAGTTTTTTGGATGAATTAACTATGTAGTGTGGTAATATTGCCCTATAATGTAATTGTGATATATTTTAGTCCTATACATTGTGAAATTTTGAACAATGAATTATGTCGTATTTATGTTCGTTTATTGAATGATAAAAAGCTTTGGTATAACTATGTTGCAGTTTTGTGTAAGCTATGACTTTGGAAAGTGCTTTGTTTCTATGTTATGTCCGAAAAAGAATTGGAATTTTGAGATATAAAATCAGTGAATTAAAAAAAAAAAAAAAAAAAACAGGGAGGTGTTTCACAAAGATCCTAAGTAGAACTTAACACTAAGTTGGACTTAAAAATTATGGACAGCCATTGGAGCCTTAAAATGAAATATATTCAAAAGCAGAAATTCAAGTATTTTAGACTTTTTTATAAATTCCACATCAAGAACATGAAATCTCCTTGATGATAGAAAATATGAATGATTTGAATCAACATTTTATGCCTTTCAAAATAACTTTTACAAAATATTTTCAAAGACGCTAACGGCTTTCCATAATTTTTAAGTCCAACTTAGAGATAAGTTCAACTTAGAATCTTTGTGAAACATCCCCCAGGACTTCCGATTGACTTTGAAACCGGAAACATTTTATATCAATAGTGGGCATGGTAATTCTCGACGGGAAGCCGAAGGGAATACCCCAAAATAATGTTCAGTTAGCTAACTTCAAATCGAAACCAATTAATAATACTCAGTTGATCTCGTGATGTCCTGGGAAGAGCCATTTGTTGCATCACGAAATGGCGGACCCGGTATTTTAAAATATAAAATAAAAAGGGGGCATAACATTCCTCAAATTTGCCGATAAACAAAAAGGCAAAAATTATTATCCTGATTTTCAGGTCCTTTCTGTAAATAAATCGTTCTTCCCCCCCCCCCCCTGAAAAAAAAGAAAGACAAAAATTCACCACCTTAAAAGAGGTAAGGGTGGTGGTGGGAAGGGGGGGGTACATGTTCGGACATGTGAACTGAAGGTGTATTACTTGGTTTTCAAAGGGGATGGGGGCACGGGCCAGATGAACCACCCCCCCCCCCCCTCCTACCCGGCAGTAGCCTAATTCGTTTTATCAGTTTAAGTTTGGCAAGATATAGAGGGCTTCCGATTGTTTTGTTGAACATTCATATCGTGTCGCTTCAAAGTCATGTATATCTATTTCTACAGCTTCCAGTGATAATTATAATCATTAAGAGTGTATAAGCCTGGTAATACGCTATCCACAGTGATTTCAGTCATGAAAGTGTTTAGGAATATATTTAATATCTTCGGGTTGAGGTACCATAGCAAACAATGCCTAATCGGTGACCATTGGTCCCCCATGATCATCTTTTTCTTATGTTAATTGAGAGCTTATTTGTTGAAATAACCACCTGTCAGTGACAATGCAGGGATGTCTAATCCCTCCTGGCCAAACTGGTGCGGTGGGGCTTTGATAATATATATTGCTCTTGTCTAATAATCCATCTACAAAATGTATCAAAGTGGTCATTTCTTGTCCGAAAATAAGATATAAGGTAAAACTTATTATATACACTGTCGCTCATTAAGGTGGAATATTTTAGTTTTAACTCAATTTATGGAACTATTTTAAAAATTATTTAAAAATAATAGATCTAGATAATAGTATACATTCTCAGATTTTATTGAATAATAAATTGCAAATGGGTGTTTTGCGGGACTGCTAAAGCATGTGTATGCTACTATGCTTATTAACTAGGGAACCTACGCCCTCAAGTCATAAATTACATTGTTGAGGATTAATGCCCCACAAAAGGGCACTAATATAACACATCGACATGGTTTTGATCATGGGGCCTCACAGTTACGAGGCCATTGCATTGTCACTGAACCATGACCGTACGCAGCAGGGGCTAGGGTAGGGGGCAGTTTCCATAAATAAATAAAAACACAGAAAATGCAATAAATTTTCAATAATTTATTGCATTTTACCCCGGTCCCCAACATAAAAAAATCCTCTGGACGGCCATGCATTATAGCTCAAGGCATGGGCACACAGAAGATTTTTTATGTTGGGACCCGGGGTAAAATGCAATAAATTATTGAACATTTATTGCATTTAAAAAAAATTAAAATTTTTTATGGAAACTGCCCCCTACCCTAGCTCCCGCTGCGTACAGTCATGGTTCAGTGACAAAGCAATGGCCGCGTAACTGTGAGGCCCCATGATCAAAACCATGTCGATGTGTTATATTAGTGCCCTTTTGTGGGGCATTAATCCTCATTACTGTCATTTATGACTTAAGGGCATAGGTCCCCTATTTGATAAGCATATTAGCATACACATGCTTTAGCAGTCACGCAAAACACACATTGGCAAATTATTATTCAATAAAATCCGAGAATGTATACTATTATCTAGATCTATTATTTTTAAATCATTTTTCAAATAATTCCATAAATTGGGATAAAAAAAAATATTCCACCTTAATGAGCGACAGTGTAGTAGTGCAGTTATTGGTTAGCCTATTTGTGGACCGTTGATTTTTTTTTGTTAACGGCTTTCAAACACTTTGCCCCGCCCCGCCCCTATCTACCTTTGTCTCTTTCCTTTCTCTCTCTCTCTCTCTCTTTGCCTCCTCTTTGCCTCTGGGGGCTCTTTTCCTTCTCTCTCTCTCTATCTCTCTCTCTCTCTCTCTTTGCCTCTTCTTTGCCTCTGTGGCCTATTTTCCTTCTCTATTTCTCTTTCTCTCTCTCTCTCTCTCTCTGTCAGTCATGTCCAGTGTGTCAAAAGTCGGTCCTTTTTTCCTCGTGTGTGAACGTGGTTAGATAAAATTTCGCTTTCTATACGTTGGTGTCATTTGTATATGCAGAAACTGAAAACTGTCTGTCTGAACAAGGTCTTTAATTCTACCCGCATCTCTTTCTAACATTGAGAGCGATAGGAAGGGAAGTTGTTAACAAATGCTTTCCGCAATTTAACTCTCATGTCCGGCAATAAATACGAATAATTCCTTTCTATATCTTCAGTTAATTTGATTGGCCTATCAAATTCGAGAGAATTTTGATGGTATTTTGATATTTTTGCGGGTAGTACCACACATTGTTATTCATTCCAATGGTTAAGTGACATTTAGAATTAGGTTATGACGCAAGGGTCACGTGACTAATCAACTCCTCACACGATCGCAAAGATATTCGAGAAATCAACCTAAGGCGATATCGATAGTCTTGTGCGTCATCTTTTTAAATGAAACATTTGAATGATATGATTGCTTTAGCCACACTTTATACGGTATTGCAATTGCCCTTTGACTCCTTTAGTTGATGTTTTGAAAGGGTTTGTGATTGTGTTTCCTATGCCTTTTGCGCACGAGGCGTATCATTGTAACTGTAAATGTTACTGGTAATTGAATAAACAATTTGCGGGAAATAATGTTAATAATATCATTTCGCTTTTATATAGCGCTTAATACATCTACGGTGTCTCAAAGCGCTTCACTGATATAATATTACCCCGGCCATTGGATTCAATACTTGCCTGCACACACTGTGTGCGCAATCTCCACTCCCTGGAGAAGTGTAATCCTACAACTTTCCACTGCCATTCTCTTCGTTGTCGACTTTTCATTTTCTGTAACTGCTTCGTTTTGCAATTGTTGCGATTGAAATCAAAGTTATACTAAGGAATTGTCCGGCAAAGTTCAACTTTGAGCAAATTCGATACTGTCTTTTGTTCATTTTCATTTTGAACATCCTATATCTTTATGTTGTCTTTAACGTCGTGTTCTTTCGATTTGTTTAATCTTCTTTCCAGATCAACCATCTTCTAAAGTGAAATCAACATGGGAAGCAATAAAACCAGCTGGGGGTATTTCCCCGTCGCCGTGGTAGGCATTGGTAAGCATAACATAATACTTTTTATTCGTCCAAGGGTCATTTACCCCAGAGCCATACATCTATACACAGAGTTTGGTCAACTTGTTTTCTCTTGGTCACAGCATGCCGGAAATTCTTTGTTTTTGCTCGCCCAACAAAGCGATAGGGACTTTTAGATTTGCGTGGACTGATACGTGTGACGTCCATTCAAGGCAGTGCATTAACAGGACGTCGATCGTAGCAATCCACGTTGTCGTTGTGCAAATCTAAAAGTCCCTAGTATTCGCCATATTGTGCCAAACCTGGTTGGTCAAACTTTCCTAATCAATGGCTTTGATTTACACGACGGTCTAACCATCGTGGTTTAATATGATGTAGTGAAAATTAGTCTTTCGGAAAACTATTAATATTTGCAAATGATTAATTGAAAATTACGACATCCATATATCACAACAGAAGGTTAAAAGGGGTGAAACCCACAGGGGGGGACTTATAAGGGGGAGGGGGGTCCGTTTTAATTGTATAGGTTCTCGAGGAGGATGTTTAAACAAAAATCATCAATTAGAAATGAAGAATATATAGCGAGCCTTAAAGACAACTATCCCTTTCACCCTTCTTCCATTTATTTAAAAAATATATATTATAACCGATATGTGAAAGAATAGTGTGACAAGTAAATTGATCTTTATAGATTACATCACGATATGTGTTCAATACTTCAACTTTTATTGACTTGTTTTTTTAGATGTAAAAATATAAATGAATTACAAAAATCCAAGTTTCTAATTTTTTGTTTGAATAAATATTTTCCTGTTTTTAATATTCAAATAGTGTATGCAGTGACTAAATTATTGTTTGGGGCTATACTAAATTTATAATAAAGTGCTTTTCACATGACTAGTTCACATAAAAAGAGACCAATAATGAAGTCACAGTGTAAAGTTGTACGATTTTTGATTCACTCCAGGAACTCGCCATGCTTGTGGCGCAAACACTACCGATGACTTCTGGAAGGTTCTCAAGGAAGGTAAGGAGTGCATCCTGGACATTCCTCCAGAAAGATGGGCCATCGATAACTTCCATGACGAGGACCAGACAAGACAAGGAAAGATGGTGACAAAGCGATGCGGACTCATCGATGATCTGGAAGGCTTCGACAACCTGTTCTTTAAGATCTCGCCCAGAGAAGCAGCATCGTTGGACCCTCAACAGCGCCATCTCCTGGAGGTCAACTATGAGGCATTTGAGGACGCAGGGATCAACCCTGATAACCTAGGTGAATCCTGTGGTGTCTTTGTCGGTATTGGTATGATGGATCACGCCATCCAGCTAGTCGATACGTCCACTACCGATGCGTACACCCTGACCGGTATTGCGCACAGTGTGTCGGCTAACCGTATCTCTTATGCGTTCAACCTCAAAGGGCCTTCTTTTGCAGTCGACACAGCTTGTGCCAGCGGACTGACGGCTCTCCATCTGGCCTGTACCAGTCTCTGGAACAGAGAGTGCAGCGTTGCATTGATGTCAGCTTGCAATGGTATCCAACTCCCAGACATCACAGTCGGGTTCAGCGCCCTTGGTGTTCTCTCACCAGATGGCCGTTGCAGTCCCTTCTCAAGTACCGCCAATGGCTACGTCCGCAGTGAAGGATGGGGCGCCATTGTCCTCAAACCCCTCAGCCAGGCTCTTGCTGACAATGACCACATCTATACTGTCATACGCGGTAGCGCCATCGCAGCCAACGGGTTAGCCAACAGTTTGACCATGCCATCTCCTCCTGCTCAGGAGTACGTCATGAAGGAAGCCTATGAGAAGTTCGGTGTGTCCATGTCCGATGTGCACTATGTCGAAGCTCACGGCACCGGAACCATGGTTGGTGATCCTCTGGAAGCAGAGGCCATCTCCAGGGCATTCAACCGCACCAAAGACAACCCTCTCAAGATTGGATCCGTAAAGAGCAACTTTGGACATACCGAGGTTGCTGCCGGAGTGACAGCTGCCATCAAAGTCGCCTTGATGATGGAGAACCGTACCATCCCACCAACCATCAATTTCGTCTCTTCAAACCCCCACATCGACCCTGAAGAGATGAAGCTGGACATCGTAACCAACGTCCAGCCCTTCCCAACCGAAGACAAACACATCATTGGCCTCAACTCCTTCGGTTTTGCTGGAGCCCTGGCTCATTGTATCTTCGAGGAAGCACCAAAGAGACCTAAGAAGGAGCTGACTCCAGAACAGGTGTGCGGATGGAAGTTTGGTGACTCCGACAAGGAAGGTCAACCTATCATCATTCCTCTATCTGCCAAGTCTCCAGAGGCATTGACAGCTGTTGCCAAACAGTGGCAGAACCTTGATATCGACCAGGACGCAATGAGTGCAGTCTCCTGGATGTCCACACGGCGACGAGTTCATGAAAACAGACTCACTGTCATCTCAAGCTCAGGCAAGCAGTTCAAGGCTCAGATGAAAGACTTTGTTGAAACAGGTGAGACAGACATGTCAACAAACATGTCTAACTTAGCTTTCATTCTTTCTAAATATATATATCCATATCTCCTTCTTTTCATTCGATCATTGTTTCCTTAATTGATATAAAAACAAATTTATCTTTGAATTGACTGAATACTTGGGATGGTAATTAAAATCTTCACGTGAGCACAATATTTGTTTATAACTCTATCTCACTTTCTCTCATTTCATCTATCTTTCTCTCTCTTTCTCTCCTACTCTCACTTTACCATCTTTCTTTACTCTCCCTCAATCGATTCCCGCTCAACATTCTCCTACTTATTACGTTTTTTAACGGCCGTAATCAGTACTTGGACATTTTAATAATTCATCAATTGGATATTTTGATCATACTATATGTTTACACTTAACAATATTATATTCATATCTTTTCTTATGTTATTTATCTTTGTTTTCAAAACCTTCGTTTCAGTAATGTTATGTATGTGTGTAATTTGTACTTAATTAAGTCTGTATTTTTTTTAATAAATATATGTTGCTTATATTGTGTAGGGCCCTCAGGTATAGCAGTTTGTTAACTGAAGATGCAATCCCGCTTATTTTATACTGAAAATAAATAAACAAATAAATGATACAAATTTAGTATATGTTTTCTTAAATGCAGTTGGTCTGAAGCCTTACTATTGAACAAAAAGCAATTAACATGCTGGATGAAATTTAGTAAAAACGGTTGAATGGGTAATAAAGAGCGAGATTATTATTTTTTTTTGGGGGGGGGGGGTAAGGTCTTGTGAAGCACAAAGGGTCTAAATGTGATACGCTCTATTCAGGAACGGATTATTACTATTATTAATACTGTTATTATTATTATTATTATTATTATTATTATTATTATTATTATTATTATTATTATTATTATTATTATTGTTATTATTATTATCATTATTCCCATCGTTATTATCATCATTATCATCATTATCAACATCATCACTGAACTCATCTTTTATCTTAACCCACAGGTGGCGCCGAGAACGCAACTTCCGGCACCGTCTACAGCGGTGAGCCCAAGATCTGCATGATCTTCCCTGGCCAAGGGCAGCAGTACGGCAACATGGGAAGACAACTCTACAAGACGGAGCCAGTCTTCAAGAACACCGTGGACGAGTGTGATGCCATCTTCAAGAAGATCAGTGGCTGGTCCGTTCTCGAAGAAAAATGTAAGTCAGTGCATGCGATTAGATACATTGCTAGACCATTTTTAATACAAGGGGAGAGGAGCTAGGGGTCGGATACAATTTCCGAACAATTCAGTAATTTACCCATCTGACAGTCTTTTCACAAAACCATCATAAGTACAAGTTCACTGACATAGTATTCAAACACGTGTTAATTGCGATACACGTGTATGGAAGGGATGTCGGTGAACTTGTACTTAAAACGGGTTCGTAAAATGCAGCCCAAGTTAGCAGTGTAGTTGATAAGTTAGCAAATATATATTTGTTTAATGATCCGTTGAGGAAAAAAGGCGATAGAACTCATAATTTATCAATGGGTTTGTTTTTATAGGATGGGAACACTCCACTCAGAAGATTTTAGGTTCATTATACATTTCACTGACTTCATAATAGAGCACCAGATGATAAAGCCTAAATGTTGTCTCAATTGCAATTTCTAATATTATGCCAATGTAAAGCTCCCTGAAACGTTGTAGAGAACGTTTCATAACTATTTTGGACATTCAGCTTTCATAGCAAATTCTTTCACCCCACCCCAACTTCTCCACCGCTTATTATTTTTGTTAATTTTTGTGGGATTAAATAGAAAATACCTTTTGAATATTCAGAGATATAATTTTAACCACCTCGGCGAGTAATAAGAATACATCATGAGGCTACTAAGTTGCGCAAGTATTATATATTTTTTTCAATAATTTAATTTAGTCTTTCCTTTCATATCGAATATTTTCTCTCAAATTTCAGCTCTCTTTGTCGAGCGCCCACATTCGGCAGATTACAAGCCCGACACCTTTATCAATGATCTGGAAGTCTCTCAGCCATCCATCCTTTTCATGCAACTCGGTCTCTTTAACCTCTGGACCCACTGGGGTGTCAAGCCCGCTTGTGTGGTTGGACACAGTCTTGGTGAGGTATCGGCTGCATATGCCTGTGGAGGAATGACCCTTGAAGAAGCTGTGGAGACCATCTACATCAGGAGCGTTGAACAGGGAAAGCTTAAGGGAACTGGAAGCATGGCAGCGCTGAGGATGACCCTTGAGGAAGCCAGAGAACTCTGTAGCAAGCACGAGCGCCTCTATGTTGCAGCTATCAACGCACCTGGATCAACGGCCATCGCAGGAAACACTCAAGCCATTGAACAGATTGCTGCAGATAACCCAACGATCGCCAAGCAGCTGCGTGTCCAGTGTGCTTTCCATACACCAGACATGGACCCAACTGAGAAGACCTTCAAGGAGAAGATGGAGAAAGTGGTGAAGACTCCAGCCGGTGTGCGAAACATCCCCTTCTACTCCACCCTGACCGGGGCTCGCTACGAAGGAGACTTCAAGACGGCCTATTGGTGGGACAACATCCGTAACGCTGTTGAGTTCCAGTCTGCTGTTGAAAACGTCCTGCGTGATTTCGAGTGTGATATGTTCCTGGAATGCGCTTCCGCTGCCACTCTGCTATCATCCGTCAATCAAATTGTAAAGGGTTCTGGAGTGAAGATCCAACTTACAACCATCGCATCTGGACAAAGAAACCAAGACGATCGCATGTGTGCTCTTCGAGGCCTTGCTAACATGCACAACAACGGCGTGTCACTGAACTGGAAAAACATCACCAAGGACTCTGCTGCCTACACTAAACTTCCACTCTACCCGTGGCAACACAAGCCTTTCATGCTAGAGCCAGAGTACCGACGTAAGCGCCGTCTAGGCCTTGACGATCGTACGTACAAAGGTCAGAATGGGCAGCTCAGTCTTGAAACATTCCCCTTCCATAGTGACCGTACTGCAAAGGACAAGCTGGTTTTCCCAGAGTCTGGATATGTCGAGTACATGATGGAAGCTACCAGCGGCGAAAACGAGTTGCCTGTTGTGAACAAAGTAACCTTCACACAGTCTCTAGAGTGGCCGGAGGAAAAGACAGTCACAGGTACCAAGAAGGCTACTCTGAACCTCGACTTGGTGAGAGATGGAAACAAGGTAGAAATCAGCTACAAAGGGGACGTATGTAGCAGCGCAGAGGTAGAGGAGGGTATTGCCCAAGACAATACCATCCCTGTGAATGATATCATTCAAAGATGTTCCAAGAAAACAACAGCGGAAGACTTCTACAGCTACATGCAGGAGATGGGTCTTGAGTATGGTGCCAAGTTCCAAGAGGTCAATGAGGTGTGTCTTGGGGATGGAGAAAGTGTTGGTTATCTCAAGCCAGCACAAGATAACAAGCAGAGAATCCAAACAACCCACCTAGATGCCTGCTTCCAGCTTCTTACTTACACTCTCGGGGCCCGATCAAGCCTGTATCAACCAGCTATGATTGAAAGCATTCGAATGAATGTTCCATCACTACCTGCCGGAGAGCCTCTTTTGGCATACACTTCCATCATTGACTGTGACAGCTGGGCACTTAGGGGAAATGTCACGATCACTTTGACGAACGGAAAGGTGCTTGCTGAAATCCAGGGATGTACATGTAAGAATACAAGTGGTACACAGACGGACATCGACATCAACAAGTGCCTTTACAAGAGAGAATTCCAGTCAGTCAAAGCACATCTTCCACCAATCAAAGAGGTCGCCAAGGTGTTTGACGAGGAAAATCTGAGGAAGCGCTTTCCTGAACTCATGGAATCAGTCACAAGGGCAGAACAAGTGTTTTCAAACATGGGAGCAATCTGTCTTGCCTACATCAAGCATGGCTTGGATCAAGTACCCGTCAAAGAGCGTTCTGACTACTTAGATCCGCGGTACTATCGACGACTTGAGAAGCTGAAGAGAGACACGTCAATTCGTCAGATCAAGTATGAAGACATCCCAAAGGTCAAAGAGGAGATGCTTAAAGTGGCACCAGAACTAAAGCAGGAGTTGAGTATGGCACAGTGCCTTGGTGAGCATCTTCCAACCACACTGCGAAATCCGCAGTCAGCAATGACACTCCTGTTCAAGCCTGAGTGTATGGCATCCTACTTCTTAGATTCACTGACTACCACATTCTACTACAAAGCTGGAGCAGAGATGGTTCGACAAGCAGTTCTCAAGGCTCTTGAGACAAAAGCCACTGTCAGGTTGCTAGAGGTCGGAGCTCGCATGGGAGGTCTTACCCATCACATCCTAGAACATCTTGAGGATCTATGTCTAGAAGGACGAGTTGAGTACGTATTCACTGACCTCAGCGTTGCTTTCTTCCCACATGCCCGAGACCACTTGGTCGACTACCCCTTCGTCAAGTATCAGCAACTAGACATCGAAACCGACATCGAGAGTCAAGGTTTTGTGCCAGGTTCAGTCGACATCCTGATCTGCTTGGATACACTCCATTCCACTGGCCATCTTCAAGAAGCCCTCTACTTCATGCGGGAACTCATCTGCGACGATGGATGGATGATCCTGTACGAAGCAACAACTGTCAAGTTCATCGCAGAGGTGATTTTCGGTGCCCTTCGTCTATGTTGGGTCTTTGAAGATGACAGACCCGAATGTTGCTGGCTGGAGCAAAATGAATGGAAAGAGGCGTTGGAGAAGAATGGCTTTGATGATGTTGTGGCTCTATCGTCTCCGAAGGAGCTTTTCCACAGTGTACTTATCGGACGCAAGGCAGGAGGCGATGGTGCTTGCATCAATCCAAAATCCACACCAATCACCACACGCAAGCAATGGCTGGTGGTGTCACATCCCGACAATGCAAAGTTTGCTGACCTTGTCAATTCATCACTATCGGGTTCAGTGACATCTCTCTCATATGACGAGATCATGAAGGCTGATCTTGGCAAGCTGAAGGAAGACGGTTCAGTCATCGAGGCTCTCTTCATCTGGAATGTTGATCACGACAACGGGTTCAAGGTACTCCTGAACTTCCTCCAACAGATCGGTGTGAATGTAGAGAATGTCTGCAAGCTGTGGATGGTGACCCTTGCCGCGACCTCAGGAGCCAGACCTATCAACGCAGCAGGTGCTGGTCTTGTTCATGCTGCTGCAAATGCCTGTCAGATCCCGTTCGTTACGGTAGATATCCCGGAAGAAGTGACAAATGGAGACAAGGTATGGGCTTCCAGACTCGTGAACACAATGCTAGGTAACAAGTTATCCGACATGGAGTTGGTTGTAAAGGATGGAATCGTTCTTACCCCAAGACTCACGAGGATGCAGCTCCCTGAAGTGAAGGTTAACGAGACCCCCTACTGGCAACTCACACAGGCTGTTGATCCCTTCAAGACAGAGTCATCAGTGGAGGATCTGGGCATTGCATACCAAGATGGGTTGGAGGTGGCCCCTGGAACAGTCCTTGTTAAGGTCTCAGCAGCAGGTATCAACAAGAGAGATGTCGATCTCGCAAGGGATAGCACAGTACAGAAAGAAGATACCAGTTCATTCGGCATGGAGTTCTGTGGTGTTGTGGAGAAAGTTGGAGAAGGAGTAACCACCGTCAAGCCCAAAGATGAAGTCCTTGGATTTGGCACACACTGCTTGGCATCGTACACACTAGCTCATGCAGATCTTGTTGTCAAGAAACCAAAGAACTTGACCCCATCACAGGCTGCCACTACCAGCATCGCCTTTGCAACTGCATACTACAGCTTAGTAGAAAGAGCTAACATTACAAATGGAGAATCTCTTCTCATCCAGGTGGCAGACCCAGGTTTAAGGGATGCAGCAGTACAGATTGCAAACCACGCAGGAGCTAAGGTAATCTGCTCCGTAGATGATCCAACTACAGCAACGCCACTGAAGAAGATGGGTGCAATGATTGTACCTACATCCTCATCCTCTTCATTTGTTAATGATGTTAACAATGTAACCAATGGAGCAGGCGTGGATGTTGTCCTGAACTCTCTTCAGGGCAAGCAGATGGAGAAGAGTTTGGAACTTCTGGCAGCTGGTGGGCGCTTCTGTTCCATCACTGACTCCAACGCTATCAACTTTAAGCTACAGATGCGGTTGCTGCAGAAGAACAGGTCTTTGATCTCCTGTAACATTGAGAGCATGAATCAACACCAGAAACCTCTACTTCAGAGGATCCTGCGGAAGGTAACGGATCTCATGGATAAAGGTAAACTGAAACCACTGGATGTTACTTCTCGACCCATCACAGACTACCCAACTCTGTTTGCAGATGAAAGCATCACCAACGCTGGCAAGGTTGCCATCGAAATCCCATCAGCATTCAAACCTAACAAGGTCATCTCAACTACGCAACTCTTCAAGAAGAATGCAACATACGTCGTCACAGCTGCTGAGTCTGGTCTATCCCAAATCTTTGCTCGCTGGCTCTACAACAATGGCGCCAGGCACATAGCCATGTGCTATCTGATGGAAAGCGGAAAATCCAAAGCAAGCAGAACAGTTAACTACCTCACCAGAAAGGGTGCTGAAGTCTTTGAGTACTGTCACCAGCTTGACGTACGGGGCCCAGACGGTGGGATTGCAAAGATCTTCGGCGATCTTAAGAAAAGGAATGTTCCAGCTATGCGTGGCATCTTCTGTCTCGGTGGCTACCGACTTCCTGGCAAGGAGACTATGTCCGATGTCACCTTCGACAGTCTCCAGGCAATGCTCTCTGCCAAGGTTCGTCCTGCAAAGTTGTCCCACATCATGTCAGACAAGATGGGACTCGAGCTGGACTACTTCTTCACCTTATCAAGCGACGACGTTGCCTGGGGCAACCCATCCGCTGTTGCTAGCGTGACTGGAGACTCCTACCTTGAGAGCTTTGCTCTGAAGAGGCGATTGGAAGGCAAGCCAGCTCTCAACCTCCAGGTCGGAGCTCTCCGTGGAATCGACGCCTATGAGTTCGGAGGACAGACAACTCTACCGGTGAAGGATGGAGAAACTAGCCTACATGTGGAAGAGTTCTTGATGGTTCTCGGTAAACTTCTCTCCTCTCCCGACACTCCGCCATGTGTCTGCATTACAAACCAGGTACGTCAATTAAATTGTTTAATCATCATAAAATGTAACAAGACACTGAAATCTTCTTTTTTAAAGAATAATAGTAATGACAAAATAGAATCGATAACCATTTTGTAACGAAATTCATCATTCCGCACTTTAACATGCTAATTTCATTATAATGTGGTTCATAGAATGCATTGCTCAGGGCAACTAATCATTAAAATATAAAATGTAAAATAAAATGTTCATTTGATGTCAAAAAGTATTAAAAACGACAATTTTTCTACATTCGACACTATCTTTATACATAAATTATTATTAGTATTTCATATAATCGAGAAAAAAATGCTTGAAATAGATCTGAGTCGTACTGAATCTAATGATATTGAGTCAATTTATGAAACGTTTTTTCTTCTCTTACTATATTTGTGACTAGGACTGGGAATCTGTACTGAAGTTCTCCCATGACCACACCTTGAAGTTCCGTCATCTTGCAGGTGGAGAGCAGGTGGCCATCTCGGAGTGCAAACTCAGTCTGGAAGACCTACAGAAACAGGTACAGCTCTTCCTAAACTCTATCTAAGTATCTTCTCCCGGTTCGGAGGTTCATTGCAACATCTCTCCATTTCACTCTATCTTCTGCCATTCTGGTGCACTCTTGCAGTTTTAATCCACTCCAGTTTTTAACCTTCTCTTCCAAGTTGATTCTGGGTCTCCCTCTCGGTCTACTTCCTTCCACTCTTCCCTCCAATACATCCTTTAAGAAGCTTTGGTGCCTATTAACATGACCTATTAACATGACCAAAGTATTTGATTTTTCTCTCCTTAACTAATCCTACTAGTGCAATTTGTTCACGCCCTGCCATGTGCAATATCTCTTTGTTGGTTTTCATTCGTTTCCAGGATATTTTCATCATTTGTCTTTCAAATATACCGCGTTTGACTTTAGTTTGTAAAAAGAGACACACATAATAATAATGATAATGATTATAATAGTAATAATGATAATAATAATAATAAAAGAGGATGCTCAAGGCACATACAAAGTACTACTATTACCATGGCTTTAGCCCAGCTACCCCAAGGTGCTCAAAGCATTCAAAGAATACATTCCTAGATCTACCAAGAACCAATTTACTACACCTGGGTGGAGAGTGGCCAACGTAGATGAATGTATTGCCAAAGGACATCCGCTATACCACGACATCTCTACCTTTTGTAATGTTGTTTTCTAAGTGCGCGTTTCGTAAACGCATTTGAGGGGTGCCGAGGACACTTACATCAAATTGTTTTGTGAGGGAAACATTTCATCTTTATGGCCCTAAGAATTTTGACACTTTCAGGGTGGAAAGTTCAAACACCCCCCCCCCCCCCCCAAACAAAAAATAAATAAAATAATAATAATGATAATAATAATAATAATAATAATAATAATAATAATAATAATAATAATAATAATAATAATAATAATAATAATAATAATAAATGAATAAAACAAATATATATATATATATTATATATATATATAAAATAAAATGTATAAAGAACCTCTAAATTACGTCCATCCCTGAGTTCTATACAATATCGTAAGTGCAATATGACTCTCAACAAATTATTTCACCAGTACATGAAGGGCCGCGGTACGCTCCTAACATTCATTTAGGCTTCAATCAATACACAATTATAGTACTGCAAATCTCAATGAGTAATATGCACTTCTGAAGGAAATGGAATAAGCAAACCAAAAAACATAATTCAGCTCTAAGAACATTATATTAAATGATCATTACTTACGTGTGCTATTAAAAGTATGTATTTTGTGTGTAATTAAATAGCTTCCCCTTCTCTCTGTGACTCTTTCTGTATTTGAGATTGTTTCTCTTTCTCTCTGTCTCTAGCATTTGTATTTTTTCTTTCTCTTTCCGTATCATCCCGCTCTCTGTGTCTCTTGCTTTCTTATAAGGTAATTTACTCTTCGTGATATTCATTTAATTGCAATCATATTACCATCTTGCTTCTTTTGATTGCAAACCCACTATAGGTGAAGAACAAGCTTGGTGACCTGCTGTGTGTCAACCCCGACACCATTGATCTCCGTCAACCCATGATCAACTACGGTGTCGACTCCCTCATGGCCGTCGAGATGGTGACATGGGCAAGCCGTGAGCTCAGCGTGGTCATCTCCCAACTCGACATCCTTGGCGGGATCACCACTGGAGTCCTCTTGGAGAAAGCTATCGACAACAGCGTCTGTATCTGAGACTACTGACCTAACGATTCGGGTCATTGACAGGGCCAAGACCCGATTTCACAAAACGATTGATCAGTAACAAATTATTGTTATATAAGCTATAGAAATCAGTATATTTGATCGGCTGTCAGGAAAGTTGTTCTAGATTGTCGGCATTTGGGATTGATAACACGTTTTTTTTATGAAACAGGTCCCGAGACTGGAGACCTAAACCAGACCAATTTACCCAAAAAATTGATCAATGCATGTCTTCTCCGAAAGACCTCGGAACCAACTATTCACATTAACCTGATCATTTTAATAACATCTCTGTAAATGGGCTGTTTTATGCATAAATTAGTTGTAGTCATGTCGGTCAACCCTCTGACAAGTTTCCGGATTTTTAAAAGCATCATTTGATTATGACGAACAGGTAAACAAAAATGAATAGAATAGTACATTATTGATGCAATAGTACATAATTTATTAATGAAGTATGAATAAGATTTGAATACAGATTACAGAAGTATTCTCTAGAAAGTCGCATTCACAACTAGACCTCAAGGGTGTGAATTCTTTTGTTGGTGAGACAAATATTTGCTGTCAAGACGTAGTCGCTTTCTAAAGATCCAGAAAACAGTATCAGTGCACTGCTTGGGAAGACATATAAATATTCCATGTAGACACCAAAGTCTTGCTGGATAATATTGATAAAGCATGAATAAACCAGTGTAATGGCAGGCTAGTATGTAGTAATTGTGTTTGTATATACATAAACATTAAGAATATTGTCTGAGTAGTGTCAAAAGTACAGTACAAGATGAGAACTACGAATGTAAAATGATCTTTGTAAATGGGAAATTCCTCACACTAATAGAGCAATGGATCTATTTTAAACCATAAAAGAGGACAATTGTGACAGTATTTATTTTTAGTATTTTATCATTGAAAATAGATACGTTTGATATGTTAGCTTAATGAGAGTTGTGCAAATTTGAAATTTGCATTTGAATTGAATTGAAACGTTTTGTACTTTATTCCTCCAGAAAGATAAATATTATTCCACAAAGATCATAATATGAACTTGGGTAGAACATAGTGGTATGGATTCGCAGAAGATTCTTAGAAATCAGACTCTTCAGTATACTTCATCATATTAGGATTTTGTTCAAAATGAAAACAGGAAGTATATGATGCATAATTGTAATTTAATACACACCTTTATAAAGCACATCTAAAAAATATAAATTAATAGATGGAATGTAAATTTTGTTGTCTTTTATTTTTGCATTGGCTGAATAATGTATGCAGATATTTGGCAAACATTTTTTTGCCTTCATTTTGTCTGATATCATTTGCCTTAGAAATATAGGATATTTTTCTGTGAAAGGCAACAGAACTGACTTGGTGGTTTATGTGTTTTGTTAGATAATCGATATTATCATATATGTAGTGTAGAAAGTGGTTGGCATCGTTTTACTTTCTAAGACTAACAATTTAAAATGCTATGGGTATTTTGGCAATAATGTATAATAGTGATATTTATGGTAAATGGATATATTTCAAATTTATTTCGGGTCGAAGTACATATTTATTGTTTTAAATGTCATCTGTGAAATTCTGGTATATGTTGGTCATTAAAAGTATATTCAAGGTAATTGCAATCTTTGGTATCTTAATGTATTGGATGGAAAATTGTTTGAATCACTATGAACCAGTTTCATATTAAAACTGAATTAAAGAGAGAGAGAGAGAGAGAGAGAGAGAGAGAGAGAGGGAGGGAGGGAGAGAGGGAGGGGGAGAGAGAGGGGGAGAGGAAGGGAGAGGAGAAGAGATGAGATGAAGGGAGAGAAACAAAGGCAAGAGACTAGATGGAAATAGAATAAGATTATTCTTAATTCCAGTGCAATCATACTAAACACAAAGAGTAAAACAGAAACAATTGCCACATGACCAGACAGGTTTGAATGAAATACTTAATTCACTCAAATTTACACTCTCACTCAATATTCAAATTTGGCTCTCAAACTAGAAAGTACGCCCTCATTCTTTATAATCTAAACTCAAAAGACATCAAGAAATCAAAAATCGGGTAATTTCAATATCTTTGTCCATCAACTTTTAAAATCTTTCCATGACACATTACATCATCTCAACATGATTTCATAGGCAATAGAAAACGGTGTTTAATTCTTAAAATCTTTGTGATTGTGTTTTCCTACATGTTTATGACTCAAAATTCACTCACAGACAACAGATACTGGACTCATACTCACAATATCAGATTCTTTTCATTAAAACTTTGCACATATTTTAAGCTTGAAAATATTTTTTCAAATATGATTGTAATCTATTCAAATTTGAATAGAATAACTAGTACACGCCAAACACATACAGCAATATATGGAAAATGAAGAGATTATTTTCATATTTAAACATAAATTGTTGACAATTTGAATCTACAATATTTATTGGTGACTTGAATTCTTTTCAAATTGATGAGTTTAGGGCTAAAATAATTGAATAGCTGTTCTTTTCACACCCACAAATAACATGAATCCACTGTCGCAAAAGTGCATTCTTTGAAGAAGATGCACTCATATTTAATTTTAGCCTCTCACACCTTATTCCAGAAATCAAATATTCACTGTCACTAATTCAGGCTCACACGTACTCACTCTATAATAAGCAAGAGACCAAAAACAGCAGCTACTAATTAAACCTTTTTTTTCTTGGGCTTGTTTATTATACGAAGACAGTATTCCAAATTCAACATGTTTTAAAAAAAGTGATCATTACACTATTCAGCTCCCTAGGAGTGTGTCCTTACAATTTCTCTTGTGTTAGATCAAAAATATAAATAGATATCTATTCCAAAACAAATAATGTCTTGCATATAGTTCCAAGGCATGATAAACTTTGGAAGAGAATGATCACAATGACTGTTCATTACAGGGTGAAAGGGGAACTCCCCATTGCTCTCTACTCAGTCAGGGACTGTGTTGACACTCTGCCCAAGTCAATCCCAAGCATTACAGGATGGCATTTAAAGAGAATTTACAATTTTGAAAGTGGAATATCAGGGATATTTCAATACAAAAATCTCTAAATTTATGATATAATATATAAACTAATATGAGGTACTTTCACAGCAGTTGAGTTTCCTGTCAACCATTAATCAGATTCATAAAATATTGAGTTTTAAATAGCTTTGTTACGGAAGACCCAAAAATCACATTCTATGTCATTCTGTAACGAACCCATATCAATCAAATTCAGTATTTCATCAATATAATCAATGATTGATAGGCAACATTATGTTTTGAAAGTACTTCATATATTATATCATTCATTTGTAGATTTTTATTAAAATGTCCATTTTATTCTTCATTCAAAATGTAAAAATGTTTTTGAAATGTCATTCTGCAATGCTTTGAATGGACCCAGATCTTAGGGCGCAAGAGGGGCTGCGCACCACATGCACGTTTTTCATGCAGGAAAGTTTCAGCAATGGGTACATCCCTCATTTCTCTTCTAATGATTTTTAACAAAAATTTTGAAGCATAAAATAGTTCACATCTCACACCTAGAAAGACAAGAATACTGATATTTTCTGAAGTACACTTGTCAAATATATACTGCATATTTTGTGTCAACCTCCTTAAAAACTTGTGAAAATAGCACCATGTTTTTTTTGCAATGCATAACTGGTTTACAAAAGACAGTTCAAGATATTAATATGTAGGCTATATACGTACACAGAATCCTTGTTAAAAATCCTCTTACAAATATGCAATTACATACAAGAATAAATACATGATTTATCATACTTTAAATAGAAAAGCTTATCTTTTATTTCTAGAAAAGCATATGTGCTAATGCTATCTACCTAATACAACACAAAGTGGAGTTTAATAATCAATGTCGAGATCAAAACACATGTTTTAAGGCTATTCAATGAAACATATAGCATTATCTCCCAATATCTACGTATGTACATATATACCATTGTAAAAACAGAGAAATAATCATGAAGAAGAATTCATGATTCATAGCAAAATGTGACACTAAGTGAGTACTCTCATCCAGAATAAACCTTTCAAACGATGACAAAAGGTTGTGACAGGGACATAATAGTCTATCTAAAAGTTCCAACAGTAAAGCTACAATATAGGGGGTTCTAACACTGCTCTACAACTGCAATCAAGGTTTATACCTCTCACAAGCAGCAGTACTAGCAATCCAAACCAATCAGAGCTCTCGATCCAAAAATATATATATACAGATAATATTTAAATAGTTGTTTTGACCGTATTTCAATCCCTGACAACCAAGTTTGGAATTCATTAAAAGAAAACCAGTTTCAGTGTGGCCAGTGAAAATGTTTATATTCACTGGTATTTTTCTTAAGTGATCAATGACGAAACGTGCATCTATGAATGCCAATTTTGGACAGAGAATTATTAGAACACATAATTAAGGAAGATTTTCTAAATCTACAAGACTAACAAATAATGCAAGGCAGTGTACCTGGTTCTGTACTGGGCAGTGTAAGTAGGCATTTTAACTGTAAGATTGACTCATAGAGAATGGTAGCAAATGAAGGGTAATAAAGAGCAAATGATTATTCTGTAAGCCATTACTAAACTGATGTCTATTGCAATGTCTTGAGCAATGTTAGAATTTAGAAATTATGATTAATACCATGAGCAGAGTCTATATATATTGAAGACTTAAGCATTTGATATAGATACAAGATATTTTGAGTGGTGCCTGATCATTTCTTACAGGCAAAACAATGTCTTTATGCCCTCTACCATGCCTGAAACAGAGATCATACACCATTCAACATGTGGAGTATCTATCTAACAATTATGCAAATATGCTTGAGAGGTCTTTTCAAATGCACTGCTAACTCATCTATCGTACTCAATACCAATAATAAATGAACAGCTAAATATGTACAGAATAGATGCTAACAAATCTCCAACAGAATAATAAAAAGAAATAGAAAACAGACACAGCAATTGGTAAACATAACTTAAAACACATAAACTTGTATTGTTTAAAAAGTTTTTTTTAATTTGTTTTTAGAAAGAGTTGCAAGTATATATACAAAACATGAGCTTAGATGTTAATGCATATTGTTTGCATGGTGCAGCATTGTAAGCATGTTGCCAAATTGAGGAGGGGGAGCAAACATGTGGAAACATAGGTCATAAATAATGGAAGGCTTTAAAAAAATGCATGACAAAATATACACATGTATTTAACTGTTCCCTTTAAGACTTGCTGACACATTTGCTATTGCTTCCCTAGACATAAATTACTGATGGAATTAATGTTTTAAGACGGTCTAGATCAAATAATGATTACTATTCAACATAATATTGAGTGAACCCACAGAACGGGCTGTAAAATCCATGATGTAAAGTGAAGTTGGAAGCCTAATTATTTGTAATTATCTTTAAAGCTTAAGCTCCAGGTCTGGCTTGCTAAGACTAGAGAGTTGATAATGAAGGCAGCGATGACCTCTTGACCTTAAGTCATAGTCTGACTTCAACTTAACCAATGCCCACTTACTTTAAATTTAATATTTTATTTAAAAAAAAACAATACAGTTGACACTGCTGAATTTGGACTGTCTTAAATGGGAACATCTGTTAAATGGGACAACTGTTTCACTGAAGTAGTAGAATACAGACCGTAGTGTTTGGGGGGGCATGTGCTATTCCAATGACAATGTATATCACTTCCCATAACTGTCCTAATTAAGCAGAGTCAACCGTACAATCACCCTGGACAAGCATCCTGTACATGAGACATTTCTAAGATTGAGAGAAGCATACAAGGTGTTCTTAAGGTTCTAGGATGCTTTCGTTGGGGCAGAACTCAGGCAAGGCATCCCTGATTTCTTCCACATTGGCCACCTGTAGCATGCAATAAAACAAAAGAAAGCAAAGCGCAAAGGAAGAGGGTCAGTGAGGGAAGCAAACAAAACATTCAAAAGCATTTGAAAAGGCAAGTGAACACGATTGCAAAGACTTTCGAGAAATCAACGTAGGGGTTCTTCCAATAGCCTCATGCGCCATCTACTTGTGTAAGTATTGAAATATGTCAACACTACAATGGGTTATGGCATATTAATAATCCCTTTATGATTTCAACGAGGTATACGATAGGGTTTTTATAGAAGCGCCCTACATCTGATTTCTCTAAAGTCATTGCAATCATGCGGTTAATAAAGCAAAAAGCAGGGAAGCCAAATGCATGACCAAAGGTGGTTTGGGGTGTGAAATTTGATTGTCAATTTTTCAGAGACTTGTCAGCAAATCCCTATAGACTACATTTCCCAAAATTAATAGCATTTTCAAATGATCATAATATAGAATTCTAGAATTTCATCATAAACATGGTGATAAAAATTTCATGATGCATATTTTTGTTCAGTGCGATTAGCTTAAAAGCTTGGGCATACTGTTTACTGATTAACATGAACTTTCCCACACATAAAGCAGGAAATATGATTGCTCTGTTTATGTGTGGGAATTGGGAGAAATACCACAAGAAGCTAACAGAATTAATAAGAATTTTAGCACTGAACATTTTTTCAGAGAGAAGCAATAGAAATGGAAGACTGATGGGCATGCAGATTATTTTCAAATTCTAATCCAACAGTACCCCAATGAGAAAAGATCAATTTTAATATGTGAATAAAAGCAGTTGCAGGATTAGAGCTAGACTGTGGAGGAAAAAAATTAGGAAATGACACTCGTTTGCAAATATAAAGCACCCTTGAAAAGAACACACACAGAACATTCAAAGAAAATGTCTTTAAAGCAATGGCATTCATCAAGGAAAAACTTGGTCGGTTAACTGCAAAACAATAGGGGGTAAGCAGCTGTTCTAAATGAGAAGCACACAACACACAAACGAACAAACAACTAAACAAACAGTCTACCTAGACAAAAAAAAAATTAAAGGGAAAAGCAAGAAGAGTTTAAGAAGGATAATGGCTGCATGCATGAGGGCTTCATCTTGTTGGCTCTAATAGGAACAGACATTGGTAAGAGTACTGTAAATCAACCAATCTGATTAAGTAAAGTGGGAGCCATGCTTCTTATCCTCCTTACATGTCTCTCCATTCAGCTTGAACTTACTTTGGGTGCCATTTGATATTTCCTTTGTGAAACTAGACTATTATTTATGCAAAAAAACCTACAGATGTTCATATATAAAAATGAAACAGCAGTAATAACCTGCATTATAATACCATGCAGTATATACTCAGACCTCTTTAACAAATTCAAATTTCAAAAAGTATAACAATAGCACAATTCATACAGTTTTCTGGATGTACAAGAACATTTACAAAACAAACAGAGGAAACATATTTTTGAGTTTCTGGGACTGAGAGGTCGGGTCTATTTCTCTCTAGGCTAAATCCTAAGAGATACAGATGCGTTTTGGAGCACAACATAGCCAGTAAGATCTACAAATCATAAATAAGAAGTATAAACATGCCATCACGCAAACAATTAAGGCACCAGAGGTATTATAGAAAGCTGAACTTGATAGAATTAAAATGTACAATGTAAATCGCAAACTATATAGTCCAGACTGACCCACGTCCCCTAGGAGGGGACCAGGGCTGTACACACTGAATGTGGTAGACTCTGCGTTTGATGCCACCTTTACACCCGTTTACCGATGTACTCAAATTTAGGATGTTTCTTTTCTAAAAGCACTGTAAAGCTACCTGATTCACCGGTTTTAAATGATAGAATCTGTATGGATGGAAGCCATCATTCAGAGAATACTTGTTGATATGTCAGGCAAGCCTTTGACAAGAGTTTCAAGCCCTGAACAGCAACTCCTGATCAAGAATTATGCATTAACTCTGAATACGTTGAACACATCGGTAAAACTGTCTATCGTCTCCAAGAATAGATCAGTCTAGAAGTGAACCAATTCTGTTCAACAATTTTAAAACACTCAACGCAGACCTAACATATTCAGTGCACTTAGTTAGCCCTTTAGAAGTAGGGAACGGTTAGTTTTAGTGATAAAGATGATTTTGAAAGGGAGGGGTGGGGTGTGTGTAGAGGGGAGGGGTGGATCAGGGGTCTGCGGGCGCTTCCTCAAGCCGAACAATGTTGGGACAGAAATTAGGCAAGGAATCCCGGACAGTTTCCAGCGATGCGACCTGTTAGAGAGAGAGAGAGTGAGAGAGAAAGGGAGAACTTGACGATGAATAACAAATGAGTGCAATGATGAAAAGTGCATTATAAAAACATAAATATTGTGATATCACACAATAATTAAAGATATTTATAAGTTGAGGGTGCAATAAATATGAAATAATAAGAGACAGAATAAAAAATTTATGAAAATAGAAATGCTTTAAAACCAAAAATCATGGTTCAAAATTTTGTTTTAAATATTGTTTTCATGTAGCAATTAATAGCCAATTATATCATTTTATAAGGCTATATTTCATGTTTTTGTTTAAGCATATAGGACCCCTCTTTTAAATGTTGTTATAAAACTGATTTATTATGAAACTGTGTTTTAAAAGCAATGCTTCAAGATTAGGCTAGCACTACACTGCTTGATTAAAATCCACCACCAAATTAATACTTCAAACTTTATTTACACAAAATCTTTCAACATTTAATCAGTATGCACAATGATATTATATTCTACTTCATGTATGCAAGACATGACTTGGACAATTGGCAGTTAAAATATGTCTCAAAGCAGAGAAAAAGTAAGATACTAGAAATTGAAAACTCTGGGTTTTTGTCATATGTGCGTTTGTTACAAAGGTCTAGAATCCCCCCCCCCCCCAAAAAAAGGGGGGGGGAATGATGTTAAAAGAAAAAGTTTTCTTTAAAATACTTTTTTTCATGATTATCTATTTTCCAAAAACTTGAGACGTTCTGTTATGAATATCTGCAATGTTAGATCACTTATATTTTCAATTGGAAATGTTTTAGTGCCATTTCAGCTCTCTCTCTCTCTATCTCTCTCCCCTTTACTCTCTTTCAATGTAATGTCTAAACATCATAATTTATAAATTTCAGATTGTTAAACAGTACTGTATGTCCCTAATCAGGGATCAACTGCAGCTCATTGCAATCATCAAGCAATGATTCTAGGTATTATGCTACGGTAACAACAAAGATTATTTTATGTTGGGAAAATGTGAAGAAAATTAACTACCTAGAGAATGATCAGTCGTGGCATCACACTACATTTCAATTCAAATTACATGACTTGCATGCCCTGTTTCATAAGACTTGCTATCAATGACAAGTTACTATAACTGTCATAAGCCACTCAAACCCTTGCATTTAATTGGCTGAGAGGAAATTCGTTACAGAAATTTGGCACTTGTTCTTGATAAGGAGTTCTATGAAACAGGGGCTGATTGTAGAAGAACATGCACATTTGTGTACTTCATGTAAATAACTGTCAAACTCTTTACTGTAACATCTACATGTATGGTACATGAAGGACGGGTTGGAATGGGTCACTTTCACATCAATGGAAAAAGATGTATTGTTATTCTAGTTACCATGCCAACAAAAAAGCTTACTGATGATCTTGTGGAAATGACGTATACATTTACATCATGCAACACAGTGCATATGGGTCATACCAATACTTTATACACACATACAAATTTACTTGAAGACACACATCGTAGATTCCATACAAATACAGGGTCACTAAAAAAAAGGGGGGAGTATACAACACTTAATGACATTGACTTGGAGGGGTCCAATGAATGGGAGATAGATAAAAAGACATTCATTATTATATCTCTATATGACCTTGGGGTGCTTCACAAAGACCTTAAGTTGAAATTATCTCTAAGTTGGCCTTAACAATTATGGAAAGCCATTAGCATCTTTGAAAATATTTTTGTAAAAGGTATATTAAAAGGCATAAAATGTTGATTCAAATCATTCATATTAACTTTTATTAAGGAGATTTCATATTCTTGATTTGGAATTTATGAAAAGTTTTAAATACTTGAATTTTTGCTTTTGAATATATTTAATTTTAATGGTACAAATGGCTCTCCATAATGTTTAAGTCCAACGTAGAGTTAAGTTCGACTTAGGATCCTTGTGAAACACCCCCTGGATTATGACGCGCAAGTTGGGTAAGGAGGTGAAAACACTAAGATGGACTGACTGTACTGAAGTTGCATCACCACGCTATGAAACGCTCGCTACTTGAAATGAAATGAAGCTTTGTCAGAATCGAATGAAACTGGTGAAAGCAGCTACATGTACATGTAGCCTAGACCTGTAAAACAACGTTAGCTTTGAAGCTAGAGAGGAACAAGAAATTTCACCATTTGTATGATATGACATGGGATGCAGGCCACTTACATATTTCTACCGGTATGCAAATGTACAACATGAAATGTATGATGTCAACAACCTTTTGTGCAATGAAGCTATATTATGTTGCAAGGTTCTAAACTGCTAGATATCCTAAACCTACATCTAAATGTATATGTAGGTTACTATCCAACTTCAGGGCTAGGAATGTTCCTGCTATCAGCTCTTTTTCTCTCCTGGACATAAGCCAATGTAGCAATTTTCTTTTCTATTAGCCTCCTTTTCTCTCCCCAAGCTCTGCTACAGTATAACTGCTAAATTCTCATAAATGCAGTCTTTACATATATATACTTGTATCTATCTACATCCATACAGCTCCTGCTCTCCCTCTACTTTTCTACAAAGCTTATTCTTTCTATATTGCTACAACATTCCCTTCTCTCTCTAATTCTTCTTGAAGACTCCTACAACGTAGTCTCAATGTGAACACCTAGCAAGCTCACTTTATCATCCCAAACTGCTTGGAAGGCTTCACTTCTTAATCTAAATATTTTTATAAAATCATTGAACATATCTGAATCAGATTGTGAAAATAGATTACTGTGCATAGTGCACATGTATATATGTTTGAGTTCAATTATGTTGTGTATATATTTCATAAGAAACAAATTATTTCAATGTTCGAGCTAACCCAAATACTTCTTTGTGATTCAATGTTCATTCTTGAGGATTAATTTACTATCATAAATTAGGGTGTATTAAACGGCTATTTGTTGCCGGCTCCATTTTAATACCAAATGTATAGTATTGCCATGCTGAAATACAATGTATCTGAAATTTCGAGAATAGATGAAATGAATAAATGAACCTACACTGCTACAAAGCAACTGTAATTACATTTACGTCCATTGCTTATTTTCTCTGCCTACATTTTCATGCACCTTGCTACAAAGCTCCTATTCTTTCCCTTCTTCTTCTTCTTCATCTACAAGCTTCAAATCTTCAATCTACTTTTGCTAAAGAGCTCACATTCCCGAGGTTCTGTATTATGTGTTTGGGGGTATATCGCCCCTTGATCCTGGCCTAACAGCGGGCGTCTCTATGGCCAGCTCACGAGGGCAAAAATTTGGTAGAGCATCTCTTATTCGTTCCAAACTGAGCACCTGAACATGCAAGATGAAATAAACAATATCAAAATAAAGAATGCTTATATTTACCTAACACTATCTTGGTAGCTTAAGAAAATAGGGTGTCACATAAAATCAAGGCTTTTCAATAAAAGAATGGGTCTTGCTAACCAACATTACGGCAGCTAGAATCCAAATACATGTAGGTGATGGAGGTTTCTTATTTGTTGTTGATGTTGATTGGATAGATGCTGTCTTTTGCTGAAAAGCCATGGTTTTATATGTCACTGAATTTCTAAGATATTATACACTGTATACTGTCGCCTTTCATTTATCGCTGGCACAGGGATGACCACAAAAAACTATCTTCTTTTGTAAACGCTGCTTTGTATACATACACAGACAGACAGTACAGACGCATGTATACCTTGCTTGTTGAGGGCCAAAAGGGAACTTCTGGCTCGCAGCAGGCAATACGGGTTACATCACATACAAGCTGGGATAATACTCCTCTAGAACACTATTTTCTTTTCAGTAACTGGGTACACATACATACATGTGTTTAGTTTGGGGGTAACAGTACGCGGTGTAGCTGAACAGAACTTTAAGACTCAGGAGGGTAGGGTCGATTTAAAACACAATTAAAAGTCACAGCACTTTATCTAAAACTAGGCAGTGGGATTAAGGAAAGTCAGAGTAAAAGCCTACTTATTAATGGATATTCATGTGGAACACCTCATGATTAAACAGGGAGGGAGGGAGTGTACTAAAAGTACTGTAAGATCTAAATATAACAGCACTAAAGAGTATCAAAGTATTGACATTACATAATGCTAAAGCTGCCATAAGATGATGGATACCCGCAATCAGGCTTTTTCAACCGGAATCTCTTAACCATTGGTCTATACTGAGTAAAATAAAGCTTTGCTGCAACCCACGGTAGGGCTAGAGGGGACCAAATCGACACTTCTGGTTGAAATGTGCAATGATACATTTATTACCCTTGTACCCTGGTATAATTGTCGGGGGATATTTGCAAATGGTATTTTTTTAATGAAGCGCATGTATCTCATGCTCAGTACACTATGATATGTAGCACCAAGGGTTTCATGTACTGGCAAACAACTTAAATCAGTATGTCATCATGTATGCCGTGGTAATTTTTATCGTAGCCAGCCTTTTTTTGTGGTAATATTTTACTTTGATACTCTACATCTGTAAGAGGAAGGAGGAGTAAGGGTAAAAGCCAAATTTCAGATGAAAGCTAGTTTGGAAGCCACCTCAAGGGGTTCAAGAAGCACGCTGGACTATTGACATGAAGTTGGCACATGTGCATGTACGGTAATCCGTGATTGGTTCCTGTTCTAATAGGGTGAAGGTCACTTTGTCATGCTGGAGAGGTCAAGGGTCAAACCTGCAACTCATCAAATCATACCATATTGAGGGAGTGCTTGGTGCCAGATCATGTGTGTGGGGGGGAGTGGGTTGGAACCAGTTTAGACTGGTTCCAACTTAATGGGAAAGGGGCAGAAATCGGGCAGTTTAGCGGCAATGAGCGAGAGACTTGTAACCTGTAGATAACCATGTATGGAAGATAAAATATTAGCCAAACACAATTTAGCGACGTCTTCACCCGTCACATGTCGCCTTTCTATATCAGTGTATTTTTATACAAATGTCAGATCAGGTAAAAATAAGATGAGTGTGGAATTTTCTTTTCATCGTAACATCAATAGCTGTAAAAAGAAAAATGATTTCACAATCTCAAGATCAATATGAATGAACTCAGAAACAAACCTGATGCTTGAACATTAACAATATTGATGAAAATTAAGAAATAAGCTTTAACAAGAGAAAAGCCTCCTATTTTGAGAAAACAAATTCATATCCTCTTTGATCTAGTAGGACATGGATATTGTGTTAAAACTACACAACTTTTATCAACATTTCAGTGCCTGTACAAGAACAATTGTTCAATATGCATGCTTATTCAATCTTCAGCTCTCCTTTATCGATGGACAGTTGAGCTCTCAGAGAGTAATCACGTGGTTGTTTTGGAAATGTCTTTCACACTGTGAGATTGAATCAAACACTGTGCAAGTGACTGAGAAACAAGATGCTGTGTGGTGCTAACATTTACAAACATTAATCAACAAATGAAAGATTGGTAATGATTGGTAATGGAGCAAAGTTGACATCTATTAAAATCAAAGTAAAATATAGAACAGATTTCGGGTGATTCATAAATCCCTCCATCCCAAAAGTGTACATGTGGGATAGAGATTAAATACTCGGTGATAAGAGGAAGACATCACATCTTTGCATTTCCCAAAGATTTGGTGAGCGGCTGATGTTAAAATAAAACTTGGTCTATGTTAAGACGACTCTATCCTTCTTTACAGTGGTAATTAACGAATATTTAGTAGTACAACGATAAATAAGACGTAAAATTAGAAAATATATAGAAGATCAATAATAAATTACATGTAGATAATGTGATATACATAGATCCTATATGGACCATGGTAATAGAGAAAATATAATACAGTTATTATATATATATAAAATACATAGCCACATATACGTGTACATGTAAGTAAAAATACATTGTTATTATAATATTTCAAAAAGAACATCAACAAAAGAAAAAAATGATATAATAATGTGAAAGACAGACTGAACATAGACTTTCGTAAAGAATAAATGATAATAATAAAACAATAACATATTAATGAAATAAAACAATAACAACAATAGAAGGGTACACCTTGGTCAAATGGACGTCTTGATCTGTAAGAAAAGAGAAAAATCATCATGGCAATGAAATAGATGAAAAGGTTTAGGATTCTTACCTCTGCTCGTATTTCACTGAGGTCAAATTGATACGCTGAGATCCAGCCTGCTTGCTGCATGGCGTAGGCCCGTAGTTCATCCATGGTATCGTCTAGCCTGAGGTCATAGGTTATGGTGGCGTTGACGTTGAGGAGTTCATCCTCCAGGTCCTGTAGTCTCTCAAGGTCGATAGAACCAGCACTATCTGTAGGGGGTGAATGAACAAAGGTGTTGGGTGTCAAGTTGGGTGTCACTTTGGGTGTTACATTTTTCATGGGTTTGATTTTATGATAAGCTTGAATTAGGTGTCAATCAGGCCTATAGAACCAGCACTATCTGAAGGGGGTGAATGAACCAAGGTGTTTGGTGTCAAGTTAGGTGTCACTTTGGGCGTTCCATTTGTAATGGGTTTGATTTCATGACAAGCTTGAGGAAGGTGTCAATCAAGAGTCAATTTTGGTGTTAACTGTCGTGTGTATAGTTGTGTCAAGTTTTAAATTGGGTTAAGTTTGGCGTCATTTTTTGAGTGCGCAGTTGTGAGTTGCCAATTCTGATGGGTTCGATATGCTGCCAAGCTTGAGGAATTGGATTAGTATTGAATTTTGGTAGCCTGTCCAGGTTCATGGAGCACCATCTGAGCAGGATGAAGCTGTTTGGTGTCAAACAGGGTGTCAATCTTAAAGAGATTTGGTTTCGGTTTGATCTGGTGCAAAGCTTGGGTTAGATTTGGAGCTACAGAGGGTGTCAAATCTAAAATGGGCTGGATTTGGAATGAAAGACGTCACCTCTACAGAAAGGCCAACTGTTCATCAAAGTTATGCATACACTTACCTAGCTCTCCTTTTATCATCTGGAGTTGAGCTAGAGCTTCCTCGGCAGCCTGTAAGGCAGCACCCGTCACCTGTTTGGCAGCGTTCGCCTTCTCCTGAGCCTGCAATTTAAATCAATTTTAAAAAGAAGGTTGAGCTCTAGTCAGGACGTAAAAAATTTTGGGAACTTAATTATTCTCTTCATTCCACTGTGCAAACATTCACGACTACTTTAGTTGTTAACTGTATATGCCCAACATGAGCATTATACAGTCCGTCCCAGAAAAAAACGAAACCGAGAATTACTGTTGTTTTATCATAACTTAATCAACAATTTTAATCAATAAATGACACAGGTTTGTAAAGCTTAGATCCTCCTCTTTCATTCGATGCAACTCATATGATGCATATTTTATGCATGAGTGATTAAAAACAATTTGAATAGAGGGTACCAAAAATTTAATTTGGCGGGCGGTATCTGAACTTCAAAGAGAATATCACATTTCTAAAAAGTCCATGTTCTGCCCTTTCATATGACACCTCAATCAGGAATATTGAGCCAGGAATAACAAAGTTTTGTTTGTTCAAAGTAATGCTTGCATTTCCATAATTTGATTAAAAAAATTTGTTTTCACTGGCTGCTTGCCGTAGCAACAAACAGAGTTGACAAAAGACTTAACTCCCTTTTTATGTGACGATCAGTCATGCATCTAGTCTTCCGTCTTCTTTGTGCATGGCTGATCGTCAACGAAACGGAGTTAAGTCTTTTGTCAAATGTACGAGAACCCAATATTTATAGGATTATCACTATATTTACCCGATCTGCCATATCCCCATCGTCTTCTGCCTGGCCCTCGATGGCATTGAGTCTCATCATGGTTTCCATTGCATCAGCAGCGAGGTCGTCAGCGCGGTCGTTCTGTTCCTGTGCCTCAAGCATGGTGGCCTCGGCGTCTGTCCTGACCCCCCTGGCAGCCTGAGAGACGGAGCAGAAGATCACGAGAGAATGAAAGTTATGACAAGAAAGGGGAAATACTTGAAATATTCTGAATGTCAATAACACACTAAGCCCATTTCTGTCTTCTCTTTTTATTAAAGCCTATCTGCATTAGTTTGGCCAGGAGGGATTAGACTTCCCTGCATGGTCACTGACAGGTGATTATCTCATCACATCAGCTCTCAATTAACATAAGAAAAAGGGGACCATTTTAAAACAGAGCAGTGAGTACACATGACGGTTATTGTTAAGCACACCTTTGTCTAATAAGGCTGTGAGATTGTGATGTCATTACTTTTTTTACTTTCACTGTTCATGTCCACATCAAATATTTTTGTGATTTACTGTCATGTCTAAATGAGGCTGAAGACTCAAGAAGTTCTAAATAAGTCATTCAAAAATCCACCAATATATTGCTGCAAATGTATGAATAGAGGCCCTATCACACTTCCAGAGATATGGTAATACAAACTCAAACTCTAGAATTCTAAGCTCAAGATAACCTAGGCAGGGGTCTTCGAAAAATGTCTTCTTTGTGTTCTACCAAAATCGTATCTCATATTTAAAGGGTTGAAAAAATATCTACCTCTGAAGCTAAAGTTGCGTTTCCTTCTGCCATCCTGGCGTAGTCTCGTGCCTTCATGGCATCGCCCTCTGCAGCTGCGATGGCATCTGATGCATTGTGGGCTGTGATGTTGGCCTGGTTGATCATAGCCTCGATGTCAGGGATTCTGAGCTTGGCATCGTCAGCTGCCTGCTTGCTCTCTTCAATCTCCTCGTTGAATCCTGGGCAAACAAGAGATTAAAGGTAATGCAAAGTTTTGGGAAACCTCAAAAATTTGATTGATAGTAATTCTTTACAATATTGATATATTTGGATGCCCCTGTGGATGTATTATAAGCACTAGAAAACGTAGCCCCTAAAACACTTCTGCTTTCGAGGAAATAATTAAAAATCATTTCTGTGTCTTATAACATAGAGTTATATGATTGAACCAATAAATGAAATGAAGTGAAAATGAGTGCAGTCAATATAGGAAAGAGCTTTGTTGTGCTCAGTTGCCATTCATTTACATGAACAAAAATTACATGACATTCTTTGCAGCGATTTACCACTTCAAATCTGAATGAGCCCTCATTGAGCTAACTATTAAACATTTACAACAGTTGCATGACCATATCACGTTTGATGATAGCAATTTCAAAAGTGGAAATTAGCATTAAAGTTCTTAAATTAGCAACGCAGTAAGAGGTTCAAGATCATTTTTGTTTAAATCAAAATTAACCATTTTTTCAACTTTTCAAATAAGTTCCTAACCCTGTATTTGTTTCCAGAGACTTTGCATTTTAATTTTAAAAAATTAGCAATAAAAGAAAATGTTTTTGTTGTCGATTTGAAGAACAGCATATGATCAGTTTAGCCCTTACAATGAACCCTGTCCTGAAAGGGTTAATAACCTGATATTCTCTATTACCTTGTAATACCCTGAGGATGTCTTTGGCTTCTTGAAGTGTCTCATCTCCTTTCCTCTTGGCTTCCAAGGCAATGGAACGAGCATTATCGGCCTTGGCCAGCAACAGATCAATCAACTGTATAGAAATAATATGAGTAAAATGAATTTTGAAGAAGAAAAAATTATATAAAGCACAGTTAATAATTCTGTTGAATTTTATTGTTTTATCATTAGTTTTTATAATTTGTTACACATTAATAATTAGAATGATTTGTTAGAATTAAATCGCTCTTATTCGAGAATGGCATCGGAAACAGACGAAAAATTTCTGGAACTTTTGCTTTTTCCGTTCATGTATCGTTTGTAATTCCTAGCATTCTGGATCAAACGATTATGCACAAACATGACTGGCAGGAGACCATTTACAGGTGTGGAATACACACGTACAGTATATAGATGCCCTTACCAAACAGGAATACAAAATAAGTGATATTTTAGTGGTTGCATGTATTCCTCCAATTTGAATACTAAAAAATCTTGATTGTCACAACCACTAAAATCAATTTAAGTATTCAAATTGTTGTGGTTCGAATACTAATATCCATTTAAAGGAATTTTAGTCTTCAACTATTACTATTCTGAACATGGAGATAAATTGACTGCACTCTGAAATAAATGAAGTACTCACGTTCTCCGCTGCGACGGCTTGGTCCAGCAGATCAGCGGCTGTCCTGGCGTCCTCCGCCACCTGGGCTAGGAGATCAGCGTTCTCTCTCCTCAGAGCGTTGGCTTCATCCATCAGCTGCCTTGCCTGCACGGGCGCAAAACATGAATGGATTATGTTTACATTCAAAGCAAGGTAGTCGATGTACATATTTGACCCGATCTCAAATAAGCAAATACATTGTATACCCTACATGTGTGCCTACATATGGGACGAAGCCTTATGGGGGAAATAGAGAGTATAACATCAAACTGACACTAAAACTAGAAAAACTGGCCATTGTAGATGGTTGGTCTTTCTAGACAAGTTCTACAGTCAAACCTGTCTATTAAGACCACACAAGGGAAACAGGGAAACTGGTCACTGTAGATGGTTGGTCTTTCTAGACAGGTTCTACAGTCAAACCTGTCTATTAAGACCACACAAGGGAAACAGGGAAACTGGTCACTGTAGATGGTTGGTCTTTCTAGACAGGTTCTACAGTCAAACCTGTCTATTAAGACCACACAAGGGAAACAGGGAAACTGGTCACTGTAGATGGGTGGCCTTGCTAGATAGGTTCTACAACACAGGTTTCTTCCTATAGGGAGACAATACAGATGGCCTTTATAGAGATGGTCGCTAAGATGGGTTTGACTGTACATGCAATGACACTATGAACATGACGGACAAAGAAAGAGGACGAAATATACAGTTCCTCATTCTACCCTCAACAAATGCTGTGGTAAACAAATGAACATCCCTTCACTGCTATTATGTAAAAATGTGTGGAACAGGTGAATATGCATGTGACACCTGTTCTACACATTTTATATAATAGCAGTGAAAGGATGTTCCTTTGTCTACCACAGCAATTGTTGAGGGTAGAATGAGGAACTGTATATTTTGTCCTCTTTCTTTGTCCATTATGTTCATAGTGTGACTTACTCTGAAGCTTATATCATTGGCTGCATCAAGAAGAGAATTGACATCAATCGGCGAGAGGGGCATGTTGGCCTTGGTGAGAAGGCGGAGTGCCTCTTCTGCAGCCCGTTGCGCCCTCTCAAAGCATTCGTCAGCGGCTTGCGAAGCCTGGTTGAACAGTTCTTGGGCGTCGACATATCTGATGAGAGGAGATGGATGAAATGGAGTGGAATGATTCAAAGCATCATTATTATTATTATCATCGCCATCTGCATCATCTTCAACCTTAATGTCATCCTCATCATCAGGACTATCATTTCTTCTAGTTATCATCATCATAAACAGGAAAAAATAAACCTTATCATAGGCATTATCATTTATCATTAAGCCTAAAAAACATTGAAATCTACGGTCGGCTTTTAAAAAAAGTTTATTTTTTTTACCGTTTTTTTAGAAGAAGAAAAAAAGTTTAATGAATACAAACAAATATACCGGTATTAAAGCATTCAAAACTGAGAAATATCAGCCCAAAGAGGGAGGGAGAAAAAAAATTGATAGACCGACCCATGTTTTGGCACCTAAAGGGCAATACAACATCTTTTTTTAGGCCTTATTATAATCTTTGAAAGCATGAACTTAATCAATATAATCATCAACACTATCATCACTAATGCCATCATCATTAACACCATCTAAATAATTATCAACATCATCACCTCATCCTCCTCTTTCTTTTCTTACTCCTCCTCCTCATTATTCTCCTAATCACCACTTACTTGCGCTCCACTCCTTCCACCATTGCCTCCAGATCCCCACCATCTCCACTGTCACGTGCAGCATCCAAGGCCACGTAGGCAATCTCCAGAGCTCACGTTGACGTCTCCTCCCAATCCCCCTCCCTGTTCCCTCCCCCTCCTCCTCCTCCTCCTCCTCCTCATTACTCTCCTAATCACCACTTACTTGCGCTCCACTCCTTCTACCATTGCCTCCAGGTCCCCACCATCTCCACTGTCACGTGCAGCATCCAAGGCCAGGTAGGCAATCTCCAGAGCTCTCGCTGAGGTCTCCTCCACCATCAATGCCATCTCAGTGTGACTGCATGGATCAAATACAAAATAGCAATTATCATATTATATATCATTGTAAAAACAATATAGCCACCTAAACTTGATCATGAGAACATTGTGTATCACCTGGCTCGCGGTTCAAGTTCCGCTGCGACACTAATGTCTTTTGGCAAGACATTTATCTACATTTGCTACACTCCACCCAGGTGAGGAAAAATGGGTGCCCAGTAGGAAGAAATTTCTTGAATGATTGAGCACCTTTTCATGGTAGCTTATTCTTGAGCATAAGAATAAATCCACCCACGATAACTTCATTGTGGATCTTTTGGGGTAGGGGGAAGAAAACAATTGGAATATAGACTTACTTATCAGCTAGCTGCTTGGCCTCTCGGGCTATTTCTTGCATCAGCCTATCTTGAGCAGACATGTTAGCTGTGAGTCCCCTCAGCTTCTCCAACAGCGCCCAACCCTCATTGTCAAGGTATTCCTGTGCAGAAGGCAACATACGCTTGAGACGATTGATGATAGCCATCGCTTCGGCAACATCTGAAATTACAAAGGAGATATCGAGGGTTCAGTGACACAAAGACGTAACTCCATATTTCTCCAAAATGAGTATTTGATATCGAAATGATATCATTGTTGGTAGCCTTGTCACCCTTGCTTGTCAGTAGGGGGGGGGGGGGGAGAATCGCTCCTGATCTTTTTTTTTGTATATGAAATTCCTGGTTCTTTGTATTAGCACCAGTTTGGTTTGCAGGCAGGTTTGTGCCTGATGTGTGAGACTATGGTGAGTGCATGGTCTACTGCATACAATAGGCTCTGTACTTAAGCTGCTTAGGCTCTGGTCAAGACGTTATGAAAACTGTTTCAGTATCAAATCGAAATCTGTGTATTGAGACTACATGTATATTAAAGCACCAAGTGCATTATGGACTGGTGAAAACCCTGTTTGGAATATGTACTGTCGATTTAGACCAGAAAGATTTCAAGACCAAGCCCCACTGTACTACTTGTAGCTACTTGCTCCCTCTATATAGAAAACAATGCCTAATCGGTGCCTGTTGGTCACCCATGATCCCCTTTTTCTTAATTGAGAGCTGATTTGATGAGATAACCACCTGTCAGTGACCTTGCAGAGAGATCTAATCCCCCCTAGCCAAACTAGTACAGACAGGCTTAAATCAATCGCAACTCTTCATATGACAGGGCCCAAATATTTGCATGCGCCAGGGAAAGGGGGAGGGGGAGGGGGAGGGGGGGGGGTGGGTGTGTCATACTGACCTTGTTTGGCAGCCTCTGTAACTCCATCTGCCTGGTCGATCTTCGCCCTGATACGAGCTAAGGCTAGTCTGAGGTCTCCTAGATCATCCTTAATGGCGTTCAGATTATCGGCTAAGGTACGGTCCTCAGCTGGAAGATAATAAATTGGGTATATCATCATCATCATCATCATCATCTGATCATTATTATCTTCATCATCATCACCAGTACAATCATCGTCATCATCATCATCATCATCGTTGTCATCATCATCATCATCATCATCACCCTCACCCTTACCATCACCATCACCATCATCATCACGATCACCATCATCTTCACCATCACCATCACCATCTCCATCACCATCATCATCCTCATCCTCATCATCATCCTCCTCATCACCGTCGTCGTCGTTGTAGTCATCATCATCATCACTAACATCATCATAATTAACATCACCGTCACAATCAGCATAACCATCACCATCACCATCATCATCATCATAATTAACATCATCATCATCATCATCATCATCATCATCATCATCATCATCATCATCATCATCATAATCAACATCACTGTCACCATCAGCATAACCATGAGCATCATTACCAATACCACCCCTACCAACAAGAAAATGTTATCTCATTCCCAACAATATTATCATCCGTCACACCATCTCCCATTGCCAGCATCATCTCTATCACCACCAGCATGGATATATCAATAAATTCCTGCATCACCATCATTAACATCAATGTGACCATCATTTGTAACATTATTTGGACTAAACCATGATCTTTCTTTCCTTTCTCTTGTCCATCAATCCCTACATCTCTCCATTGTCATCCATGTTTTGAGTATCTAAATTTCATTTCGTTCATAATATCTTAATTACTGTTCCTTGTTTGATTGCTATGATTTGTATGTTCTTTACTGTTGTCATAACGCTCTGATCAGTTTGTCTGTAAAAGCGTTCAATGGGAATTAATTATTATTATTATTATTATTATTATTATTATTATTATTATTATTATTTCCATCTCTCACCTGTCACTCTCTGAGCGTCGTCAATGGTCTGATTTAGGAGTCCTTCGAGCTCCCTCAGTCGCATCTCAAAGTCTGTATCGTTGATGACGGTGGGGTTGCTGGAGATCTGGTTGATCTTGTCCCTCAGGGCATCCAGGTTGTCGCGATGCACGTTCACGTTATCCCTTACCAGATTGTAGCACTCGGGGCAGGCTGTATGGGGGAGGGCGGGGGCGGAGTGGAGGATGTGAGGTCAAAATTTAAAGGCATCGTTTAAAACAATGCCAAATCTGAGATGCATGACCCTACATGTTATTAGTGTCTGTGATATGGTGTAATATTAAAGCCCTACAAAAATTGCGCTTCAAAATGATCATGAAGTGCCTCAAAAAAGTAAAAATCTTTGAGTGTCTGGTTTTACCATACTCATTTCCCCCATGAATAGACTGTAGTCATTTAAATACCATTAGGAAAACGGTTTTTGAAAATTTGATTTCCCATCATAAATATCTTGATAATCAGACAGGTGATCGGTTTGTAAAAGTCATGGGATTCCTGACAGACCTAAAGCTTTATAATTATGATTGCAGCATGAGCTAAATCCAGGATTTTGTTTAGAATCTGAGACAAAGATACCCAATCCCTTTAAAGGGACAGGGTCGTCAGTTTCCATGTGCAGAAGATCATAATTCGCTGACACCAGACTTGATGGAAATACTATTAATGGGTGTACAGGTCTGCACACTGCAAACCCGTAGTCCAGTCAAGAAATGTCCCCTAGTCTCTCAGAGAGTCTTTGGGTGAATTTACCATATGGTGAATGGGTGGATATGGCAGAAATGACATAAAGCCTGTTGGTCATACAACTGAAGGCTTCTTTGAGTCTTTAAAGTTTCATTTTTGTTAAAGCCCCACTGTAGTACTTGTAGCTACTTGCTCCCTCTATATAGAAAACAATGCCTAACAGGTGCCCTTTGGTCCCCCATGATCCTCTTTTTCTTATGTTAATTGAGAGCTGAGTTGATGAGCTAGCCACCTGTCAGTGACCATGCTGGGTGGTCTAATCCCTCTTGGCCAAACCAGTACAGACAGGCTTGAAGATTAAAGTGTAGTTTAGTTTAAAGTAGAGCTTAATGATACAGAGGTAAGAAATTATATCATTAGAATTGTTCCCAAAGAAGATGAACAGGACTTATCTACCAATGAAACATTTGATTTCAGCACTTCAGTCATGATAAATATTCATAAATTTAAAGGCAAATAAGGTTCAGGGGCCTGTTTCATAAAAACTTGTTATCTATAACAACTGCTAAATTTCTATGACAAATTTGTTCTCAGCCAATCAGATGCCAGGATTTCAGTAGCTTATAACAGTAGCTTGTAACTTGTTATTGATATCAAGTTTGTTCTCAGCCAATCAGATGCCAGGATTTCAGTAGCTTATAACAGTAGCTTGTAACTTGTTATTGATATCAAGTTTGTTCTCAGCCAATCAGATGCCAGGATTTCAGTAGCTTATAACAGTAGCTTGTAACTTGTTATTGATATCAAATTTGCTCTCAGCCAATCAGATGCCAGGATTTCAGTAGCTTATAACAGTAGCTTGTAACTTGTTATTGATATCAAGTTTGCTCTCAGCCAATCAGATGCCATGATTTCAGTAGCTTATAACAGTAGCTTGTAACTTGTTATTGGTATTGAGTTTGCTCTCAGCCAATCAGATGCCAGGATTTCAGTAGCTTATAACAGTAGCTTGTAACTTGTTATTGATATCAAGTTTGCTTTCAGCCAATCAGATGCCATGATTTCAGTAGCTTATAACAGTAGCTTGTAACTTGTTATTGGTATCAAGTTTGCTCTCAGCCAATCAGATGCCAGAATTCAGTAGCTTATAACAGTAGCTTATAACAGTAGCTTATAACAGTAGCTTGTAACTTGTTATTGGTATTGAGTTTTATGCAACAGGGCCTAGGTCAATTTGATGTTGCTGTACTTACGTATGCAGCCCAGGGCAATGTTGTAGAAGTTCTCCTCACAGGAATCACACTTGTCACCGATGACTCCTGGCTGGCAGTCGCACACACCGTCGTCTGTGCAATTAGCGTACAGGGATCCTTGGGGATTGCATTCACATGCTAAGGAGAGATAAACAGATAAGTTTTATGAGAGTCTCTGATACACACAAGGATTATAAAAGAAGCAGATATGGAGATTAAATTCATAACTCTCAATGGCATTCATCCTGGATGCTCATACATTTACCTGAATTTTTTGAGGACTGGAGCTTTGTATATGATAAACTTATCAGAAATTCTTCTTCAAGTTGGTAATATTAGAATTCTTGTCTTCATGTATTTAATACACTTTTCACATGGAATAAGTCATGAACATTATCTGAAAGGAAATCGATGAACATAAACTGCACCAAAAAGTTGAAAAATTGCGACCTCCTATTAAAAAACAACAAGGATTTTGAACTGTCAACATGTATTTTCTATAACAATTTTTTTACTGATTTTCCTTACAAACTTCTAGCATCAAATGCCACATGGTAATACAACATAAACAAAAACAAGACATGAACATGAACAGGTTTTGCTCTTTCTGCTCATAAATAATAATAATAATAATAATATATAGCGAATAATACGAAACACCATCATTAAGCATTTACAGATATTGTAATCTCCGTCATCCGATTCTCTCTCGCACCGTGTGTACCATCTCTGGAGAGTATTCCTACCATATGGTCACTGTGAGAGCATATGGCAATCATTATCACAAAGGCTTTTGTCATCCTACCAGGACCCCATTCATCACCTGGGTATGGAGTGGCAATGTATATTAATGCCTTGCCAAAAGACATTAGTGGCATGTCAGGGACCTAACCCACCACCTTTGCATTTCCATTCACGTTTATAAGGATATCATTGAAACCTTCTTGTACATGACATGAAAATTTATTACATAGTTTTACTAAATGAAGAACTTACGAGTACATCCTTCTACAGAGTAGTCATAATGGTCATACTGGCACTGGTCACACCTTAGACCATCCACTCCTGGCTTGCAAGGACACTGACCGCTGCGGATGTCGCACTGGTCAGACGTTGACCCGGTGCTTTCACAGTAGCAAGGCTCGCAGCCACGTCCACTGTCGATGTTCCAGTAGCCGGCTTCGCATTCGCTGCAGTCACGGCCGGTCACGAAAGGCATGCAGCTACACTGGCCATTGGATTGGTCACATTCGTTACTAGTCGAGCCACTCACGTAGCAGTTGCAGGCTGGAAAGTTAAAAGACAGAGAGAGAGAGAGAGAGAGAGAATCACAATTTTGCATGAAAGGTAATATTTCAAAGAGTATTATTCAAACTATTGTTACATGTATAAAGGAACTGTTAATCCCATATCAGTTAAGAATAAACATTTGGAGACATCTTATTTTTATCTTTAGATCAAGAATTATTTGAATTTCGTATTGTATTTGAGCTGAAAGTTTGAAATTCGCTGTAACATTTGCGTCCATTTCTCTTGCAGTACATTTTGCCATTCTTGAATAAGAGTGATTCAATCAAAAATAATCATTGGAGTCTTTTTATTGGAGTCTTTTTATTGGCATACCAGGGCGACATACAAATTGACAATTTCTTGTTTATTTTGTAATTTTCATTCAAAAGTTTACATTTTTTTTATCACTATGAAAGAGTGGAAAATGGTCATGAGAGAAAATCGATGTATATCAATTTGGCTCAGAATAAAAGAAAATGCTTAATTGAAAATTTGAAAATATGATTACCCTTTATTTTGTTAAATTTGATTTTTCCCTCTTAATCAGCTCAGTATATAACGCACTCTGCTCATTCCATGGTATTAAAATCTCTAAAATCATAGATATCATCACAAGTATGGCAATAATTTTAACGGAAATGCGTCCAAATAACACTACCTTTGTAATCTTACTTCCAATAAAACGGTCAAAATAATTTGTCAACATGTATATTGAAGCCCGTCTGCACTAGTTTGGCCAGGGGGATTAGACCTCCCTGCAAGGTCACTGACAGGTGGTTATCTCATCAAATCAGCTCTCAATTAACATGAGAAAAAGGGGATCATGGGGGACCAACAGGCACCGATTAGGCATTGTTTGCTATATAGATGGCGCAAGTAGCTATAAGTAGTACAGTGCGGCTTTAAATGGACAAATAGTTTCTTAAATTATTTTCTACAGCAACTCATTATGTAACAATTCTAGGGGAAGATAAAGTACGTAAACACCACTTCTAAGAAACAAAAATCAAACACTCACCCTGACACTGCTCTCCCTTGGGACTACCAAGTGCGTTGCCATAGAAACCAGGTAAACAGTTCTCACAATAGAATCCTCCTGTGTCAAAGACACACTTGAGACATTCTCCAGTGAACCTAAAAGAATGGCAAAAAAAATTCATCATCTGGCATCATTCACACGAAAACACTTGTTTTACCATGATGAATTTCTAAGATATCCTTCCAGAATCTGTTGCTGTTAAAGAGCCATCTTTAAATCAATAGAATGTAGTAAATGATTACTTCCCAGAAATTTAAATTTTAAAAAAGAAATTAATAAAAGGTTCTAGCTTCAATGAAGCTGAACTACGTAAAAACCTTTATATTGCTCTTGTTGAACTTCAGAGGGAAGAGAAGATATATGTAGGGGGTAATGGTCAATCAATATCATGGATGATGGTCCTAAATGTGGCCCATTTCATAGTGCCTCTTTGCTTCCATCAGTTTCTGAACAGTATTGGGGTCATTATTATAATAGCACTTTGTGGAATACATTTACCCTATCCAAAACGATGTCTGTGAGAGGTTCTACATTTTTTCTCTTTTTAATTCAATATGTTTTGGAGTGGGAGAGAGGGAAAGGCGACGGTCACTGTAGTTCTTACCTATCACAGTTGCCGACAGAATTGGGGTCAATGTTGTAGTTACAGTAGCACTGTCCGCAGGCCGTTCGCTGACCCTGGATGCCAGTGGGGTCACCGTAATAACCATCAGCACAGTAATCACAGCGGTTTCCTTAAAGAAAAAAAATATGAACACATGAGATGATTACAGTCTACAGATATAAGTACCAGTTAGTTTTATTAAGTTGGCCTGAGAGATATTCAAAATAAATGTACATGTATGCATGTCTATTATGCGCCCCTCCTTTTTAAAAGCCAAAAATTAAAAACTCAAAAGAAATATGTGCCCCCCCCCCCCCTATTTGTTTTTGTGCTTCCTTTCCCTTTATAATGCTAGACCCATAAGAAACCAAAAAATGTGATTTCCTTTTTTTTTCCTCACCAAAGAATATTTGAGAATGTTTTTTTTCTTCAGAATATCGTCCCCCTCCCATCCTCCCATTCCAGAATTCCAGATGCACCCTTACACTGAGGGGTACACTATATACTTACCAACATAGCCTGATGGGCACTCGGTACAGACCACATCACCTAGGTTATCGACAAAGCAGTTGGTTCCACCGGGGCAGGGGCAGCGCGTGCAGTCATAGGCCGTGCCCTCAAGGGCGTTACCATAGAAACCATCCTGGCATAGTTCACAGCTTGTACCCATGGTGTTGTGGTTACAGATACATTCACCTAGGAATCAAATCAAAATTCATTCAAATTAAATCAAATTAAATCGATCTACACTATGCAATTCATTAGGAGGATGGTGCAGAGAGACTTTAATTAAATGCATAACCAGATTCAGATTTATTTCTGTTCATCAGTATTTCAAAAACAGAGACAAATTTGCCTCCCCTGGCACAGAAAAATGCAAATAGCACGAGATAACCCTAGTGAAATACATCTATTTAGATCAAGTGAGTTAATACTCATAATATACAAGTACATGTACACATTACAAAGAAAAACAAAGATGATAAATTGAGGAGGGATAATAAAAAGAACAAGAGGATGAGAGGAGGAGAAAGATGGGGGGAAAGTAAAACTAAGTCGGGCTACCAGACGGTAAAAAACAAAAATTCTAAAGAATAAATAGAATGGAAAATGGAAGCAGAGCTTTTCATGTGATCTCACCAGTATCGACATCACAGTAGTCGGCATGTCCATTGCATTCGCAGGGGATGCAACGTGTGAAAGGTCCGTTGCCGTAGGGGTCCCTGCGGTAGCCAGCAGCGCAGGACTCACAGAATTGACCGACATAGCCGGTTGGGCAGCTGCACAGCTCCACGAATGTAGCCCTGGTGCTTTGTGGTCCGACTGACCGCCGGCCACTGACCAGACGGACGTCATCAAGCAGCCCTTGACCTGAAAGAACAGTATTCACCCTTGGCATTATGGCATTTGTTCCAGATGTTTTGTTTTTTTTTGTTTTTTTTTTTACTTCATACAGACAATTTATTTTTGCTGTCAAGATTCATGAAAAAAGTTCTTGTTTAATGCATCAAGAAATTAGTGTAGTATATTTTGATTTCTATCTTTGTATTACCTTTAAAGGATTTACAGACTAACCTCTATCACTGTAGGTTGCTCTGATCTTGATGGCAGTCAGGTTGGAAAGGAGGCTCTGGAACTCAAAGGCTGAAGGTCGTTGAACCCATCCCATGTCATCCTCAGCTCGCAGTCTGAAAGGAAATGAAAGAGAGTTGAAGTTAAAGGTCATTTAAAGTACTGATGGTAGAATTACTTTGAGAAATAAACTGTCTAGGAGATACTTTTGAAAGGTTGATTATGAAGGGAAGAAGATTTAGAAGATTTTTAAACATTTTCCAATTTGCACTAACATTGCAGAATACATAATGAAAAGATTACTGTTGATGTCATATTTGAACAAAACTTTGTGTACTTTGAGGTTTCGAAAAGGCTCAAAATTTAGGCAAGTTGCTGAATATCAAAATCAATTTTACAAATATTTGTTGACGTGATATTTGAGTGAGAAATAGATGACATGGGGTCTGTCATACTTAAGTCCAGGGAGAATTCTTTGCTTCAAACCCCCTCTCAAAAATGCATATTTTGTCTAACCTACCTAAATAACCAGTCAATCAGTAAATAAATCAATAAATCAATCAATCAATCGCTCAGTCAATCAATCAATCAATAAATCTTTCAGTAATCTACCCAAACTTACTTGAAGGTAAATTTTTGCGGGTAGACACCTGGTCGCGGGTTGCCCTGGGCAACTAGCGGAGCAGAGATCTGCCTGCCACCTCCCTCCAAGACGAGATCCTCCACGCTGAGACTCACATCATCACTGCCCAGTCTCAGCTTGAAGCTCAGCTCCTGACCATAGCTGAACAACTTGCTACCAAGGTACTCATCTACCAAGGGAAGAATGGTGCAAAAAAGGGTAATTAGTCAATTTTCATAATATCAATATAATAATAGAACTAGAAATATCGCTATGCGGATGTATCCCCCAGCACTGGCAGTGATTTTTGTGTCATCCTTATGTTCGAAGGAGGGACAAAGATCCCCTCTCCCCTCCCTGAAACAAAAGGATGAAGTACAGATCGCCAATAGTGGCTCAGACTAGGAGCAGTATCACCAAAACAATATGTGCGTAGATAAGAGTATAATGCATCTCTATAGAAATTTGAAAGTAATCCTTGTGGTATAACAATTCTTCATTTCCTGCTCTGGTACCTAACGATCACATTTCTTGAATATCTAAAAAGCCACTAGGTTTGCGAAGACTTTATACATAAGCCTTTTAGAGATTCAGCTCTTTGTTTTACCATTTCATTTTTTTTAATCACAATTGAATGAACCAAAATTTCAGATATAGAACTAATACCTATACATGAAGTTCCCACCACTTCCAATTCAGCATACAATAAATGCCAAGAGAAACAAAGAGCAATTAAGAAATAAAAAATAAAATTTTAAAAAAAGTTGCAATTTTATCATGTTGAAATCATCCATAGTCAAAGAGAAAGAAAAAAAGTCTTGTAGAACATATACCTGGGGCTATAAAGTACATGGGTTGGTTGTCAACTGTTGCGATACCGATGTCCTGCCTGATGGCATTATAAACAAGCAATTCCTGGTCTCCATTTCGACTCTCGGCTTTCCAACCATCCACACCTTCAACAAAAATACAAAAAGAAATAAAAACATGAATATGAGAATGTAACCCCTTACTTTATTTGATTTCTGTTACGTCAGAATATGGCTTTCCCCTTCTTAGCAGTTGACTGAGCTTACCAATGGATTTTTGTGCTGCCAGCCACGTGAATGACTTGCAGAAATGAGCTCCTTTTGCTGCTTACTACTAAAATACAATTTACCAGAGGGGCATTTCATATTCTGCTGGTGTGCTGAAAATGACAATTCTGACATCGAGACTGAACTTGACAGTAATAGGAACTTTAAAGCCCCACTGCACTAGTTTGGCCAGGAGGGATTAGACCTCCCTGCATGGTCACTGACAGGTGGTTATCTCATCAAATAAGCTCTCAATTAACGTAAGAAAAAGAGGACCATGGGGGGCCAAAGGTCACCGATTAGGCATTGTTTGCTATAAAGAGGGCAGAAGTTGCTGTAAGTAGTGCAGTGGGGCTAAAAATTTCATATTTTACAAATGCTTAAAAAAAATAATCAAACACACACTGTCTTTAAATCTGTAGGGTTCCTCTCAATTCCATATTTATCTATAGTCTCTCAGAGCAGAGCATATCTGCAGATCTATTCAAGACAAGTTAAAGATTGGCTTTAATTCCTTTCATTTCCTAACATTTCCCAGAGTTTTATACACACCTGAATTGAAGTTGGACTCGATGTAGGCAATGTCATAGCCAGGAGCAGAGGAGCAAGAGGATGAATGACCATGACAGAAGCAGGGAAGGCATCCAAACTCATCCGCCTCTTGAAGGTTGAAGAAACCAGGCTTGCAGCTGAACAGCAACATAAAGCAGTATAAAATTATCTTTTGTTTAATTAAAAGAACAATCTGTTGATTTGCAAGTGCAAATTTTTTGTTGAATATTTTGTTGTTTCTCTCTCTAGCTTTTTTCCAGAACTAGTAAATTTCTTGAGTGCATTTCTCTTGTGTCGTGCAAATATGATTCATACCACTTATCAAGGAAACATTACATGGCTATATGCAATGTGCATTCGCAGTGTGAACATTATGAAGAGAATTTTACAGTAAAAGGAATAATCTTGAAATAAAGATTAGGATAAGAATAACTCATTTATTTCTTATTTCAATGCTTTGCAGTGATAAATAAAAGGCAAGAGCAATTTTCATGCCACATCTAAAGGCCCTATCTAAAAGAGTTGCGACTGATTCAAGTCAATTGTTACTTGATATCAACTTCAACTCTATACTGAAGAGATACATATAAATGTAGAAATTTGTAAATTGTGATCAATGAGAGGAATTGTGATCAATACGGATCAATCGCGACTGAAATAATAAAGGCAAACTTACGTCTCGCAGTCCCTTCCTTCAACATGAAGTTTACAGTTGCAGAGACCTGTACCCTGGTTACAGTCTGGGTTGTTGTCTACACTTCCTGCACGCACACACTCGCAGCTCCTACAACACATAACATAGATCATGATAGGTGGGGTAACATTAAAACTGGACTATGTACATGTATTCCTTAAAGAGCCTTCTTTAATCATGAAAAACATCATATTATATGTACATGTAACAAAGTCTCTCCTTTCCAGGACTCCACAATCCTCCCCTCACTTACATGGTGCATCAGTAAGCCTACTTTATAGTCTCATATTATTTCATTGTTTCAAAAGATACATACGTACGTGATTTTGTTTTGTTTCATCCTCTACTTGTATTACCTAGGAAAGTAAAGAATCTGTATATCTAGACCATCAGTCCAATACGTCATGTACTTCAACAACTAAAACTCGTAGAAATGCTACCACAGCGACTCATACAATTTGCTCACACACACACACACAAAGCTACAGGATTCTACTATCTGGATGACAAGAGATTTCAGATCATGGGCCAAACATGAAATTATTTTTTACCTCTGAATCTGAGGGGGCCTTGCCAAAACTATAAACATGCTACTTTACCTTTAAAAATAATGGTGCTTACTGACCTTGGAACGTAGCACTTAGAAATGAAATCGAAATAAAAAAATTATTATCCATTCAGTTTTTCACTGGTAAAAGTTTGCAAATAAGTTTACAAAAAGAAATAGTCAGAGACAGTTACAGTAGTGGTAAAATACATTCATAACAGCTTCAGTGGGGTAAGTTGTATGAAATTAGTATTGTACGATGAGGAATCCGACAGAGCTAGATAGTTGAAGAGGACCAAAGGTAGGTAGGCAAAGGAGGTGAGTAGAGGAGTGAAGAAAGTATAGAAAGCTTCCTATCAGAGGGACCTACCTGCATCCACCTTCACCAAAGTCATAGAAGTTAGGAAGACACTGGTTACATTTATCTCCTCCTACTCCCACCTTACACTGGCATCGTCCTGAGCTATCACACTGCTGGTTCAATGATCCTACAGGGGGAGGGAAGACATGGAAGGGGAAGAGCTTCATTTCTTTGTTTCATGTAGAGCGCTCTCTATAGCTTGTCAAGTTAACCCGTTCAACTCGGGAACCGAGATTTCTCGGGTCCCGAGGTACGTACTCACAAACGGGAACCGAGATTTCTCGGGTCCGAGCAAGGGCTTCTTTTATTGCAGAAAAGTACATCTAATCACCTTCTAAATACAATATAAACTACCTGTATACAAACCTTGAACCTTTGGCTACATGCATCTCATTTTTTACTGACTGTAGATGCGTAATTTTTGTTTTATTACAAGTTTAGCATGAGAATGCACGAGTCCTCTTTCAGGATATTCGTATAGAACATATGCAGGTCAGTTTACGTTATTTTCATAGATTTTCGGATTCGCTGCTGCTAGCTAGCTGGGTCTACTATGCCTAGGACTGTGTAAGCCGGACATAATGATTTTGCAAGCAGCGAATTCCACACTCGCTCTGGATACCTTTGTACTCGGCACGCGCGGATACACCGTTCAATGCATGAGCCTTGGCCTTATATGGTCATTGACGCCTATTCATGGTAACGGGCCGATTATTGAAAAGCTTATAGTATATTACAGTCTCGTTCGACCTAGCACTCTCAGTTCAGTTTACTCATGCGTACGTATACAGGGTACCGGGCCGACCTATTATTGGGGAGATTAGCTAGTCTCGATATAGTCCATCCCATTGTTTCGTTTCAAGGTTGTCGGCTATTATTTACTTATCGTGCTATAAAGTGTCGGAGTTTTACTATTTAGTTCAGCTTTTTGATTTTCATGATAGTTGGTTGCACAAATTAGTTCTCAATTATTTGCTTATAACTGCTCTTTATCTATGTAAGATAGTTTCTCAAAATGTCTCGTCATCGGAGAAAGCCTATTTTTAGCGTTGAAGATGCTCGAGAAGCGATCCTTGACTCGGACTCAGAAAATGAATATGATACAAATGGACTTATCAAGCGAAGAAGAGTATTCATCGGACGTAGAAAATGAAGAATATGAAACAACGACATTCGATGATATTTCCATAAGTTATCTATAAAGCCTGTCGTCTCAAAAGTTTTGACTCCACAGCTATCTTTTACGTCATTGTATTTACATGACAATACGCTTTTCATTTTATCAACTTGACCAATTTAGCGAATCATTCATGTATGGACCTCCTCTTTTATGAAAGGCTTATCCAGGCTCCCTCAGCTGCCCCACGCTAAGGGGGAACAAAAGAATGTAAAGAAGTAACTACTCTGGAAGATTGCCGTTTTGAAAGAAGAGGATGTAGGCGTAAATAGGTCAATTTACATTACAATACAAACAACCACTCTAACTTATACACCTTTATACGAGGGCATGTAACAGTTTTAGAGCAGGTTGAAGTCCCGGCCCCCCCACTCAGAGGTCGGAATGACCGCATGCGTGTTGCCAAAATGTCCGGTAAAGGGGTACTTTTCGTGCGACAAAGTCCGGCCCGAGAATTGTAAAAAAAGGGGTGTATTTGACTTTTCACCCGGAGATTTCTTTAAAAAGGGGGTGTTTTTCTTTTTTTCTCTCATCTCTTTGGACTCCTGAGAAATTATTCCGAATTTAGGGGGGTACATTGAGCATTTTTCCTGATTTAGGGGGGTCTCCAAGGCGCAGGAAAAGCCCGCAAAAAGCCCGCGAAAGGGGGGTTCGGAAATGTTGGCAGTCCTCAGATAGGGGGTGCTTTCAAAAAGAGGGTACGAGCATATGCGTACCCTAAATAACACTGAGTGGGGGGGCCGGGGTTGAAGTAAAATATCTTGATCAACCTAAAGCCGGTCTTGGCTTGAGCGGGCATATGAAATGTTCAAATGTTATGTTCTGAAAAGCGACCCCTTACTCTTCCTCTCTCTCCCCACGGAATATTACTCTTGTCTTGAGCAACTCCGGCGGTAAAGCCACGAATATGAGACTTTTCCCGGGCAAAGATGCTACCATTGTTGAAAAAAATGCAAGGCAACATAAAACAAGTTTTCTGGCAATGAAGAAAAGCGAGTGCAAGATGAAGAAAATAATTGTTATTATTATTATTACTATTTTATTACAATATTGTAAGCATCATCTTCATCATCATCATCATCATCATCATTATCATTATCATGTATGCATGTACATGCCATCTACAGAACTGATCATGAAACGAGGATTATCTAAGTTTTATTGACACGATAGGTTGAACAAGGACACAGATGGAGACGAAGACAAATAAAGTGAATTATCACGTTGTTTGCACTTCTTTCTTTATTGTTATTTTCGAATAAATAAAAGACTACCAATACTACTGCGATTAACTCCTTATTAGCCGCACCCTTTCAAAAAACAAAAAACAAACACAAAAACGGGATACGGAAATGAAATACACTGAAGCACAATTCCATTTTCACGAAATTCCTGACGTATTCAGAGAGGGAAGGGGGAGGATAGAGACAGACAGACAGAGACAGACAGAGAAAGATAGATAAATAGATAGAAAGAGAGAGAGAGAGAGAGATGATTGTGATGAATTATGATTTTGTTCTAATCTCTGTCATTTATTTATCTCTTTCCATTACATACAAAACAAATAAAATATGCGTACAATGATATTTAATGATATTTGTCTCTCCGGTCACCCCCCCCCCCCCAACTCTGATTTTTTTCTTCTTTATTTTGTCTCCTTTTTGTTTGATTATATCTTTTTGCTAAAGTATAATGTCCGACGTATAACATCAAGGATATGTTATAATAATTAATCTCAAGGAAGGGATGATGTCGGCATACATGCAAATGGCGGAATAGACAACATTATGAAGATGAAGATGGAAAACGACATAGACAGAGAGACAGACGGACAGGGAGAGAGAGAGAGGGGGGGGGGGGGGGGGGGGGGGGGGGGGGGGAGATAGAAAGTTGGACGTAGTCTGTACTGTATTTATTACTATGATATTTTTCTCACCGACCCCCCCCCCCCCCCCCCCCCCCTCAAGCTCACATTTTTTCTTTCCATTTTTTTGTTTTGTTTTGTTTATATCTTTGGGCTAAAGTATAATATCCGACGTATAGTACCGTCAATATAGCATAATAAACAATTTTTGTATCAATCAGTTTGATGCAACAGGGATTTACAATCAAAAGTTTTACTTGGTATAATTGTTGTTCGGTAATGTTCTTCTCATTTCGACATTATCAGCCGCTCGTTCTCTATTTCGTTTCCTATAATAAATATAAGATATAATGTGTACATCATCAGGGATAATTACGTTATAATAATTAATCTCAAGGAAGAGATGCTGCCGGCGTACAGGCAAATGGAGGAATAGAAAACATTATAAAAAAAGATGAAGATGGAAAACGACATTGCCAGATAGACAGAAAGACAGAGAGAGAGAGAGAGAGAGGGGGAAAGAGAGAGAGAGAGAGAGAGAGAACGAGGGAGAGAGAGAGAGAGAGAGAGAGAGAGAAAGGGGAGGGGAAAACTAGGGGGCGGGAGAGATAGAAAGTTGGACGTAGTCCGTACTGTATTTATTAATATAATATTTGTCTCTCTGATCACCCCCCCCCCCCAGCTCCGATTTTTTTTTTACCCTTTAGTTTGCCCTTTTTTTTCTTCATCATATAGATATCTTTTCACTGAAGTTTAATGTCCGACGTATAATAGTATTGTAAATATAGCATTTTAAACATTTTTTTTATATCAATAAATTTGATGCAACAGAAATTTTCATTCAAAAGAAACTTTGGAAATATAATTATTGTTCAGTAATATTCTTCGCATTTCGACATTATCAGCCGCTCGTTCTCTATTTCGTTTCCTATAATAAATATAAGGTATAATGTGTACATCATCAGGGATAATTACGTTATAATAATTAATCTCAAGGAAGAGATGATGTCGGCATACAAGCAAACGGAGGAATAGAAAACATTTAATAAAAAAAGATGAAGATGGAAAACGACATTGCCAGATAAACAGAGAGACATATAGAGGGAGAGAGAGAGAGAGAGAGAGAGGGGGAAATAGAAAGAGAAAGAGAGAACGAGCGAGAGAGAGAGAGAGAGAGAGAGAGAAAGGGGAGGGGGAAGGGGGCGAGAGAGATAGAAAGTTGGACAAAGTCCGTACTGTATTTATTTATATATATGATATTTGTCTCTCCGATCATCCTCCCCCCCCCCCCACCCCAGCTCCGATTTTTGTCGCCTTTAGTCTGTCCTTTTTGTTATCATATAGATATCTTTTCGATGACGTATAATAGTATAGTCAATATAGCATAATAAGCAGTGTTTATACCAATTTGTTGCAACAGAGATTTTCATTCAAAAGTTTTACTTTGGAAATATAATTATTCGCATTTAGACATTATCAGCCGCTCGTTTTTCACTTCGCTCGCTATAATAAATATAAGGTATAATAAAGTGTGTACATCATCATTATTTTATAATAATCTATCTCAAAAAAGGAATGTTGCCGGCATACAAGCAAACGGCGGAACAAAATTGGCAGATAGACAGAGAAAGCGACCGAGTGAGAGATAGAGGGAGAGAGAGACACACATAAGCAGAGAGAAAGAGAGAGAGAGAAACAATCATTTCTTATAATTATCTATTTGTCTGTGACATTTTATCTTTATCACATATTCTTGTCCATTCCTTTATCGTGCATGATTGTTGTCTTTGAATGAGTGTTTCAGATAGGGTAAAGTCTGGCTTTACGTATATGATTTTTATTTATGAGAATGTCAGAACGTGATCCCATTTAAAAATTTAAAAAACAGCAACGACAACTGCAATAACAACAAGACCCTTCCCTCCCCAAAAACAACATAAAGCAGGGTTATACATGAATACAAAGTCAGTTCATTGTTGTTGTTGTTGTTGTTTGGTATTATCGGCGTTTCATTCTTTTTTTAGAATATTTACGCCTTTCACTTTATTTATTTTTTTCTTCTATTTTTTGGTACTATTTGTAAATTCATACTCTTCTCTTTTTTTTTTTATAATATAATCTCAGATCTGTCATCCAATTATTCAATTATACCCTTACCTTACTTCCGCTCTTTAGAGTTTATAGCCATGACAACGACCCGTACCCTCAGCAACGTTCATTGTTCCTCTTACGTAACTCAGCTGTGGGAACATGCATGGGCCAAAGACAAAGACAAAGCTCTTTTCGCACATTCTATATAGGTCCCAAATACTTGCAGACATTTCTGTGTCGGTTTTATACTTTGTCAATACCTATACTTACAAACTACAATTGTCAAAATTTGGCAATATATTCATACATATTGATATTTATATGGCATAAACATGCTCAAAGCGCTTTACATTAGTAAATAAAACAAACTAATTATTTTGCTCTCCAAATGGCACATCGGTATAGTCTGTACTGTATTTATTTATTATTATTCTATTTTGTCTCTCCTTTCACCCCAACCCTCCCCCATTCTGGATTCTTCTTTAGTTTCATTTTATCATGTCTATATCTTTTCGCTATAGTATAATGTCCAACAAAATAATATTATAACCGTCAATTTAGGCTGGTAAATTATTTCATATGAATATGATGCAACAGAGATTTACATTCAAATCCTTAATTTCTTATAAATTGTGTATTTTTCTCATAAAATTGAGTATCTAAATAAAAAGAGAAAGAAGAAGAACAAAATAAGAATGAGGCGAAGAAGAAGAAAAGATAACGAAGAAGAAAACCCTACGAAAGAGCTGAAAGAACTGAGAGGCTTGGAGCACAGCAGAGAACGGCCGTGCAACGTGTTCTCGACTTGACAAGACCAGATTGGCAAATGATCTGCGCATGCGCTAGGTTCCCGTTAGTCGAAGCCTCTGGCCGCTTGAACGCACACGCATTGTGGCGCGCGCTGAGCGGTCTCACGGTACGGCGTGTTCGATTTTTAATCTCGTTTGTGAGGTGGCTATCAGGCTGAATAATGCCGAGCTGAACGGGTTAATATCAAATGTTCTGCCCAATGCTTCATTGACTTCCATTACAAATTACAATTTTCTCCTGTTAAAATATTTTCTCAAACTTTTACCCTAATATACCATTAAAAGATGTTATTCCAAACTCTTCTATAAGAAATAAACTTATCACTTATCACAAAAACTACAAAATTAGCCTATTTTTTATTTTTTCAAACCCCAAAATAACATTAAAGTAGCTTGCAAAGGAAATTAAACAGTTGTTAATATGTGTTATGATCTTCAAAATTAGACATTCGTAACTTCATAATCTTAAATGGAATTTCTTAAACTGTCACCGACCCAAGCCTTTTGTCAAATCAACATGGTGCCCAGATACAAATCCCTTTTCAGAGTAAAAACAAGCAATGTTACTTTAATATTTCCTATAGATTAGCTTCTTTATGATATAGTTCTTGAAGTGGCTAACATATCATTACCCCTTTCACATGTCCTTACCTGTTTGGTCACAGTTACAAGGCTGGCATCGGGCATCTGGAGAAGTCCTGAAGTAGTTGTCGCGACAACGCTCACAGCTGACGCCAGAAGTTTCATCGCGGCACTCCATGCAGTGACCACCGGATCCTGTTCGGTTGTAAAGCTCTTCATCGAAGAAACAACGGTCAGCGTGGAAGTTGCAGTTACATCCTATAGACAAAAAACAAGATTGAAAAATAGTTTAAATAATGAAATATTCATGATTGACTAATATTCAATTTTGATAATGATAACAATGACAACAATAAAACTGTAATATTGGTGTCAGTACAGTGAAAATATGGTTTGTTTGGAGCCAGAAGCGCATTAAGTCATATGATTTTACACAGAGATGATGCCCATCTGGCTCTTAACAGGTGATATATAAATGGCACATAAAGCGTTCTTCTATTGCAGCATTTTTCGACCTTTTCCCATGTAATAGCCACTTGTATGGGTAATTGTTAGGGTGAAGATGAAGACCAGTGTTTACTACAAAATTCCATGCAACAAATTTATAATAACTTTTGCAGATTTTTCAAGAAAACATGGGTCTGTAGTTTAAGCAATAACATTCAATTGAAGGGTAAAATACAAACAATATTTAGCAAAAATAAGAAAGGTTGATGACTTGACAAGTACAGCGTTGTTGAAAATAACAGGTAATGTATAGGTCTAACAGAATTATGATGAAATACAGCCATGGGTCTGTATTAGACGTACTTGACCAGTTCCTTATGTATGGATTCCAGCACCAGTAAGCTTCGGCAGTACGAGCGCTCCACATCAAAATATTAAATAGCAGCAAAAGCTGATAAACGGCATGGCTCAATTCCATTTTGGGCAACGGACACGTTCTCCTCAAGTTCAAAACAAGTTTTAAGGCATGAAATTAATCCATTAATACAGTCCTAGAAGATAATAAAATCAAAGTGGAAAAATTGTAGCCGCCGAATCGAGGAATCGTGAAGAGTATAAGGACTCTTTATCCTGCAGAAAGAGATAGGCCTAGGTCATGCAGCTCATTCACACAGATGATTATTCAATTGCATCTCAACGTCCAGATGGCCTGGTAACCTTTACCATGTTCAGCTAATGATGGTAATGAAAGCATTTAAATCTATTTTCATGCTGACATCATTCCTGAAGGCGCGTTCACCTATACGCTCAAAGTGGAAAACTCATGAAAACATACCGGTAAACAGTTCCAACTGATGAACTCAGGATAAAAACACAACTGCATGTCTTAACAAGAAAGAGTAGAAAAGTATTTAGCCTAGGAAAGCTCAATGAGGGCTTCAACATTTTCCAATAAGAGATCCTTTCAATTTCAACTCGCATACTGGTGAGAAAAAATATGAATGCACCTTTGTATACAAGAAATGCAGGAACAAAGAACTAAATGCATTTTGTTCAGGAAAGCCCAAAAGTGCCTTATGAATCCCAAACAGCTACATTGTACGTGCTGTGAGTGCGAACACAAAATCCTTCCAGACCAATTGGACAGCTTGAACTCTTCTGAAGTAGAAACGTGGCTAAACACCTCTGCATGTGAACGCCTCCTACCATCAAAGCCCTGATCGTAAATCAGAGATGACAATGAAACCTTTGACTCAACCTCTAGTGCTCATTAAAACCAATTAGTGTCTGTTTTACTCCACTATCTCAGTAGGGAAGGGTGTTGCCCGATGTCCTCAACTCATTGTTCAGCCATTAATTTAGCTCGGAGAGGATAACTTTTCATCATATTCATGTACTGTAAGGGTAGCCCTAGTTTACAATGGTAACAAAAGCAGATCAGTCAAAATGTTCAAAAACAATCTAAAGATGTCCCTGCTTATTGTAATTAATATATTTTTTTCTCTTCTCTTTCATTAGTTATACTCTACTCAATTGAATGTTAATGTTTTGTTGCATCTTTTGCTCAGATAGCTAAAGCGCCTTAAGAATTGATTTCCAGTGAATTTGTGGCCCTACAAAATCATTATTAAGATCATTATTATTACTGTAGTGCAGCTTTGTACTTGAAATACTTTTTAATGTCTCTTCAGAAAGTTTTAGAAATGTAGCAAGTTATGTCATATTTGGAACCCTTGGACTTTCCAGACCCTCCCTTTCGTTTTCACGATTCAATTTTGCAAGACCAAAGAAGAAGTTATTACATCTTTAGCGAATGCATTGTAAATACAGTACGATATACATTGCAGCATGATATCAAACATTTAAAGCTTTGCAAAATGGATTATTTTGTTTAATTGTGTAGAACTATCTCAAATCAAGAGAATAACCTTTTAAGTCAGTCAAGTGTTCCATTGAATTTTTAAAAAATGAAAAAAAATAATGATAATCCTTTGTGGATAATTGTACATGATAAACAAACTTTAAAAAATGATTTAATCCTTTCTGGATAATTGTAAATGTATGTAAATGTAAGGTAGGTACAAAAAGACAAGTTCCTTTCATCTGCATTAGCTATACCTCTTAAATCTGGATAGAATGCCCTTTGATGTCTTAAAATAACAACGACAGGTAGGGTGCTCTTTTCAAAGCAATTTCATCAAGTATGAAAGTAATTATCAAATAAATCACTGAAAACTCATCCATGGTATCACAAGATAGCAAAACAGCTTGATCGAGTAACAACTAAATACACGGGAATGGTGATCCATTTAGCTCTCCAAAAAAGAGTTCTGTTAAATTTTAAATGAGCTCTGGTAAAAAATCAATAAAGTCAATATCTCACAAGAAAATTGCACTTATTCAACACTAAATCCTAAAAGAACTCCTGCGAACAGAATAAAAGTATGTTTTACACTGGCGCGATCCTTTCACATGCACCGTCCTAACTGGTAATATGTATCTCCTACTTTATTACAATTAGCCTGAATACAATCAACATTTTATAAGGTATATAATTCAAAGCAATTACACCCAAAATCATGACAATTACATATATTGAATAAACTAATACAAGGGATCCCTGTCCGGTTCCTTCATGAGAATCATCTTAAATCTCCTCCAAACATCTGACATCCCAAAGAAAAACGCTTCCAGCTCCACAGCTTCTTACAAGAAGATACCAGTAACAGTTGAGAGAAGGTGCTTTGTCAATCAAGGTGATTATTCAAAGACAACAGCATTGCAGCAAAGCAAAGAAAGATTCATTCATAACATGATTACATCTAGCAGATTGATCAAGAATTAATAAAATTCCACCAGAAAGCAAATACATCATAAATCAAATAGATCACTCCCTAATTAATCATTATACCGCCTCAAAGTAAAGTAGAGAGAGGTTAACGACATTGTTCCTTCTTGCTAAGTAATCATTGATTATTTTCCAGAAGAAAGTAAAATTACAGCTCATTTGCCGATAGAATCCTCCACAAATCCTAAGGATGAGGCTTTAATCGACTCCTCCACGCTCGACCATCTTGCTCTGAGGAGCCACAAACAAAGTCTGGTAGATGGAGGCGGCGTTACGCTCCACACCTAGCTCCGATACCAATCTACACATGGGTGGAGCTCTATTACCCCTCTCACTCCTAAAGGTGTGTTCAGTAGGGGTACATAGCACATGGGGTAACCAGGTCATGGCATGGTGGGGCTTAAACACCGACTCTGACTGACATCTGGCTAAAGTGAAACTCCAAACTGCCAATCCTGATTTTCGGCAGCCGCAGCGTTTCCTCAAAGCTCTCCTTTCATATTTCTATGCTCTTGATAATACCAGAAGAATTACCAGGCAGCTGGTGGAGACTCTACAATCTGAAGTTCAATCATCTCCAAGAACCTCCCTTTCTTTTCTTTTTCACCAGGAAATAGTATCCATTTTCACCACATTGGAGGGGGGATGGATTTGAGAGAGGACCGGTCGCCGTAACAAGTTTAGCTTTGTGTTGACTCCCAGGAATTCAAACGTGTTAAGAGAGAAGGAACCAAGCTTTTCATTGAGTAAGACCACATTCTCACCCACCTAACATACGCAACAAAAGAGTGTTTTGATTCACGTTTTGGTGACTTTGAGCAATTGTTAAAAACGATATTGTAAGGTATCGTACTTTAGCTTTGTCTCGACTCCCAGAAATTTAAACGTGTGAGAGAGAAGAAACCAGGCTTTTTATCGAGTCAGACCACATTCACACCAAACATACACAACAAAAGAATGTTTTGATTCACGTTTTGATGACTTTGAGCAATTGTTAAAACCGATATTGTAAGGTATCGTAATGTACAATAGGATAAAAAGCAATTGTGCAAAAGTGCAGAAGTGCAAAAATACAAGGCAAATTGTTCCTTAGAATAGGGGAGAATGGTTTATTTTGGGCACAAATTGTCTTCTATTGGTAGCAACAGCACCTTTAGTGTGAACACTATGTATCCAGGGAGAAAAACGATCCATGATTCTTTACTTCTTCATAAATATATCATACCAGTGACATATTGAAAGACCTACAGTAAAATTTTGCTATTCTAGTTTACTTGAATGAAAATAGAAAAGCACATAAAAGGCTGCTTGGAAATCCTATGGAAAAAAACAAGAATGTTAAGATTCTTTATGTAGTTAAGAAGATCATTGGTAACTCTGATGTTATCCTTTCTCCATTTATTGTGCAAACGAATCCCAAAGAATTTTAATGATACCTAAATTTATACTATTACATGTATCTGATGACAGGGGGGCTAAAATAGATTGAATGATCTGAACTAAGGTCCGAGATTCACACAAGGGAAGAAATCAAAACTGATCTTTCACACTCAATTTAAATCAAATCTGTCATCCTATCAATAATAATACAAAAAGAGTTTCATATGTTACATCAAATTTGAAGAAAAGACTGGGGCAGACATCTAGTCAACAAAAATACCACTGCAAATAAGTCACTGGTTAAAACATTTCTGCCTTCCAGCAAGATTGACTAGAATGTTGTTTAGAAACCTTTGCATCATTTGCAAAAGCCAGAGACTGAAAGATTGCCGTCAAAATATTGTTCACTTTTGTCCATGTGCATTTGCAAAACAGAATACAAAACATATGAGCAAAAGTATCTCCATCCATGCATTAATCAAAGTTATTTTCATTCATTGAAAAACATTTTTAAAAACAAAGATTTTTTAATATTTTTTTATGGGACTTATTTGGACTAATTTGTCTTAGGATAAGAGAAAAAAACTTCTCAGAAAGTTTTTATAAAATAATAAACCCTTGTTAAGTGAAAACTCTGAGAATTAACATCATTTCACAGCAGTTATCATATCAATAAGACTAATTTCAAAGATATTCCATGAGATTACCATCACCCTTCCACGACCTCTCAAACCAATTTTCAAGATGTCTTTTCAAAACCTAACTCAACCTTCAAAACATAAAGCACACATTTCCTTTAGGCCTAATTATATGTAGTTGTTCTTCCTGTTCTCACCTATATATGCAGTCACCAATCATCGTAACAAATACAAAATAAATTAACCCAAATTATGGGGATTTTATCGCTTGTGCAATTAGCATTATACAGTTGCCAGGGTCAAATCTAATTATGACCAAATTCACAGCTGGAAATTTCAAAGTTGAATGCAGATTGGAACTGTATCACTGAGAATCAAAGGTTCCATACAGTATACTTTTAGGTGGGGTGCTATTAAAAGAAATTAAATAATTGAAGAGTAGACCTATGATTTATTATTCATATTCTAAGCTATTGAATTAAGACTCAATTCTAGAATAATTGTGCTAAAAAAAAAATTAAAAAAATTGTGTTTTTATTATATCATTCTTAGGGGGGTGTTAGTGGTTTATGGCTTTGACCCTGTTTTTGAAAGCTTTTAAAATTTGAATTCTGACTTAATTTGCTTTTCATTTTGCTCTTTCCCTAATGTTTACATTTCAATTACATTGCCAAGTATATATCTTTTGATGGAAAATTTGGGAGCTTGAACGAAAACAAACACAGAGATTGGATAAGTTTTGAATCTCTTTATCCACCATGAGAAATAACTCTGGCTTTTCGCTTCTGACCCATACTCTTTTCTCATGACCTATCACATCTGGCTGAAATTCCCACCAAATCTGTGACCAGTACTACCCACTGTCTCATTGACAGAGAGAGAGAGAGAGGGAGGGAGGGAGGGAGGGAGGGAGGGAGGGAGGGAGGGAGGGAGGGAGGGAGGGGAGGGAGGGAGGGGAGGGAGGGAGGGAGGGAAGGAGGGAGGGAGGGAGGGAAGGAGGGAGGGAGGGAGGGGAAGGGAGGGGGAGGGAGGGAGGGAGGGAGGGAGGGAGGGAGGGAGGGAGGGAGGGAGGGGGAGGGAAGGAGGGAGGGAGGGAGGGAGTGAGGGTAGGAGGGTAGAAGGGAAGGAGGGAGGGAGGGGAGGGGAGGGGGAGAGAAAGAGAGAGAGAAGAGAGAGGAGAGAAAGAGAGGAGAGAAAGAGAGAGAAAGAGAGAAAGAGAGGAGAGAAAGAGAGAAAGAGAGGAGAGAGAGAGAGAAGAGAGAGGGAGAGAGAGAGAAAGAGAGGGAGAGAAAGAGAGAAAGAGGGAGTGAGAGAGAGAGAGAAGAAAAAGAGGGAGATATAAATAAAGAAAGAGAGAGAGAGATAAAAAAAGAAAGAGAAAATGAAATTAGATGAGGAAGATCACAAAATGAAACAGAGAGTGAGAGAAAGAGACAAGCAAACAGGTCAGAGAAGAAAATAGTTTGTGTGAAAAATATGAGAAGAGAGAAAGAGAGAGGAATGAATAACGAGAGGAATGAATAACAGGAGGAAAGAGGGATGAGGGATGAGCGATAGAGATACATGTAAGAGAATGCAGGGAGAAAATGGACAGGGAGAAAGAGGTGTCAGAAGGAAGGAAAATAGTGTGAGAGTGAGAGACTGACAGGAAGTTTTCTTTTAATTATTATATTAAGGAGAGGGCAAGGGAGAGGGGGAAGTTTTCCACCTCATTTTCACTTTCAAAAATCTTTTCAGAGCTAAATTGCTCGCCCCTTCCAAGTACTTTTTAACTGATTCAGAACTAAGACCAAGAAAAGTTTATTATGACCATTGTGTATGTAAGCTCTTTCAAATCTCCTTGGGATCATGCAGATCGGCTTCCCGAAGTAATTTCCCAATGGAAATTGAGTTATTGTCGATGAAAGTGCACAAACTATTTCACCTCTACACAGAAAACTTATTGTAAGATTTCTCTCCTGCAAGAGGGCAGCATTTCAGAAAGATTCCATCCCATATTCATTGCTGATCCTTCTCATTTGCACTGTGAGTACACCACTCGATCAGACACGGTCACAAGATGGCAGTATGACAGATATAAAAAGTCACAGGTTGACTGCGACCATGGTACACATGAAATCTGATCTCAGCACTTTGCGGTACGCTGCAGCTCAATCTATTTCAAGATTGTAAATCAGTGACTGCAAATAGTGATATTATTCATGCCATTGCGACTATAATGCAATGAAATTCTCCTCTTTTTTGCCACAAAAATCAACTTAAATGAAAGGAGTCTCATCTACTTTCTACATGACATGAACAACCTAATCTTAATTTTCGAACACATCCTTGCTATTAGCAGCTTCCAAAATCACTTTATCTTCTTTGTGATAACCATATCATAAATGAACTGGATCAAATTACTTTACGTCTTTATACATGTACCTACTTGTAGGGCCAGTGAATACTATTCCAAACCAGTGGAGAAGGAAGGTTATAGAGGGAGCTGTCACCCAGTGGGGTACGTTAGATACCAAAGTTAGTTTCCAATCAGTTTAGGTCCTGAAGCCTGACCTAAAGCAAGTTCTACGGAAGGTACTTTTTTATTAGCTAGAGCAAGCTTGAGCCTGAGAACTGTTACTTGAAAGCTTTCTAAGATATTACTAAAAACTTAAGATTAACTTCTTGTCTAAATAAAGTCACAACAATGCCTGAGGAATTGACGAGAAATGTGTGGGAAAGGGGACATGATTACTTTTAAATTTAAAATGAGTACAGTGGTGTGTACATAACATGATAGCAGTGCACACCTGCTAGTGCTAGTGTATGCCTGGACCGAGAAATAAGTCCAGAGCATCTTCCCAGCATTTCTATCAACCACTACTTTTGTATTTGGTCAAATGGCTGGCTATTTCATGAACTAGACCAAAAAGACTTGAGAATAATGCACACAGCTTGAGCTACTTTTCATTCGCAGAGGTGAAATAACCCACCCATTGCATTTTCACTGTGAAATACACATGTACACAAATATTTTTGAAATTTGGGGATAATGGAAAGAGACCAAGTGACCAACATCCAATGGACCGGTCATATGGGGCACACATGTGACCCCTGTAGTCTCATTCCCTACCAAGCAGCATGTACCACAAAAATGCTCCAGGATGCTTTTTTTAGTCAAGCCTCACTCTAAAACTTACAAAGTGTACGTGATTAAACTTGGCTTCTGAGAAGAAACAGTGATCAAAAGGAATGACGAGAAGTTTTTTAAAAAAGGGGAAAAAAGAGATCTTGTGATACAGGTCATCCTAAAAGTATAATATTTGTGTTGTGTTGGCTTTTCTTAGCTTATGGGCACCAGAGTATATCCTTATCCTTTTAATTAAAACATTAAACAAAGTATAAATTCACACATGTCCTCATCATATTATGGTTGAATATTTGTTAAACATGATTACCCCCCCCCCCTCCACCCTCGTCTTTTGTTAATTTATTCATGTAAATCAGTCTTCTCAATATCCATCGACAGCTGAGATTATTGTACTAGATCAATGGTGCAAATGTACAAGTGCTGTGCTTATTATTATTTTGTTACCTTCCATAAAAAGCAACACCATACAGTAGTTTAAATCACAATTTGATGATAAAACTTTTAACTTAATGGTCCCCCCCCCCCCACCAATTGCCCCCTTTTTCGTCTATGTCATAAAATTGTTTTTGAGAACTTAATTTCATTGAAAATACAGGTTCAACAGTTATAGTCCTTTTGATATGGTTGGTGATTGGGATTTAATTTTGAATCCAATGTTTGCTCGATGATAATTGTTTTACCGGACTTCTAAGGAAGAATGTATATGGCGGCTTTAGACCTCTCCGGAAGACTTGGTAATCAGGAGTAATGCCTTAATACCATAGGGCACAAGTGCATCAACATGGTTTTTAACCAGGGACATCCCCGTTACAAGACCACTGAGCCATCGCGCCTCCTAAATTTAGGAATTTGATTAGGGTTAGGAATTAACCAAGGAGCTTTCACCAGGGCGCATGCCATTCATTGTGAGATCATACCAAAGGCTTGCGTGACAGTCTATTACATTATTCATACCCTAATGTGCTTGCCTTGATACTTTGTTATATTTCATTTTATTTTTTTTTTGTCACAAGAGTACAGCGAGCAAGAAGAACATTCAACCTTACTTCACGCTCCATTATCATGAAATTTAAGTACAAATGACACGCTCACCCTTACTCATGCAAAGTGATTATCGCGCTCTCTATATTCTTCAAATAAGGCCCAAAATGATGCCAATTTAATTTGAGTGGAGGACTGATGAAGTAACTTGGTACTTACTCATGCATTCATTTGCGTTCCCAGCAGTGGCTCTCGTCCACTTCCTGTCATTGTACAGAGGGAGACATTCGCCACAGTCTGGCCCTGCTGTGTTGTGTTCGCACTGACATACAAGACGGTTGTAAGGATCGTTGGGTGCTTCCACGCAGTGGCTGGCGTGACCGTTGCATTTACACCTGAGAAGACAAAATTAACATAAAATCATCAATTCATGGGTTCACATTGACATAATTGTATAAAGATAACTAAAAGTATTATTAGGTGCTTACATGCACTGTCTGGTGTTATGATTGAATGTACACTTGACCTAAAAATATAAAAATGTACATGAAATTACATGTAATGTGTTGTTCACACTTGTAAATAATTCCCTTCAATGGGTTTTTGTGCATTAATCAAACGTAATATAAAGCAAAGTCCACATTGGCAAAAATAGTACATATCTCCAAGAGTCTATTACCAGTAGATGAAATAAAAATAGAAAGAACAACAAAAGACTCAATTTTCATGTTGCATACACCAGTTGGCAATATGCTAAGGTGTATGGAATATGACTGCGGTATTGAATCATATCACAATAGACCTACATGTGTTACTAATTTCTCCTTTATCAAATGTATACCATGAATAACACCTGCTTTAATAATTTTTTGAAAGATCAGACACTACTACAAATCAACAATTACTCAATTACTCAACACATTGGAGTAGGTGCAAGGTTGGTATACTGTAAAGAAAAATATGATATACAGCTAACAACTAAATCATTCATACCCCTTGTAAATTTGATGTTTTTCATGTTTTTCGTAACTCAAGAATAAAAGGTGAACTGCTTGAATTAAGAGTAGACCTTTGTTAAATACTTTTAGATGTAAGCTTTAATATGTCACAGTCTCAAGAAGAAATGTTAATTGGCCAAATCATTTTTTTTTTTCAACAATCAAATTTTTTACTTAATAAAATTACAAAACTTGGTAAGGGTATGTATAATTAAGTTGTTAACTGTATTATATGTACCCTGTACAATAAGAAAACTGTCATTATTAAATATGTGTAGTTATTAGTTTTAAATAGGTATAACATGAACTACATGTTCGTGTATTCCATGTCACAATGGAGCAACTTGTCTGGAAGAATATGCTTTCCAATAAATGAATATCTGAAAATTACTCTTTCTTACTATTTTTACAAAAAATACAAATAAAAGCTCCTGTTTGCAGTAATTGAATAAATGAAAAGGTTCTACCGGTAAGTAATAATAATGATCTGTAAGTTCCCTGTGAACTTCACATCACCATGAAAATAGTGCAGTACGGGTTAGTTGATTTTGACCATTATAAATATTATATGTGAGGTATGATTCACTCAAGGTGAATCTATCTACTGCTGAGAGCCAGAAGGGCATTGACTAGTGCCACTTTACACCGACCTAACAGCCCTTTGGCTCTCATATGATATGATTCAGGTAGAGTAGAATCAAACACAGGATGTCTTTCATTTCAGTATGACATGATCCGCTGAGAGTGAGATGGGAGCAGTCAGGGGGTGAATCTGTCAGGGAGAGCTCCTGAACTATTCCCTGTAATGATGGAGGCACCTGGGCTGCGTTTCATGGAACCATCATACATGTAAGTACAAGTTCACAGACATCCCATTGAAACATGTGTTAAATTAATACACACATTCAATGGGATGTCGGTGAACTTGTACTTATGATGGTTTCGTGAAATCCTGCCCTGTCTGCCAGAGTATGCTTTGCAGGAAGTGAATCTCAAACAAATTCTAACCCAGTAATTACTGTTTCTCATCATTCTTTAAAAAGATTTTTCTTATATTAAAAGCATGTGTTTTTAATAAACAACATGTTCATGTATTCCCTTAAACAATGGAGTCACCTCTTTACAATAATTATCATTTTCTATTATTAATCTTACAGAAAACTTACAAAAAGTGCATCTGTATTTCATTAACTACATGTACATGTAATCCCTGTAGCAATGAAGCTACTTGTCAGTGAGAATATGTTTTACAAGGAGTGATTATCTGAAAACTTGCAATGCAAAAATTACTCTTTCTTACTATTCTCACAAAACAAATTACAAATAAAAGCTCCTGTTTTTTCAGTAAGTGATTGAAAAGCTTCTAAATAATAATAATTCTATGTTCATAAATCTTCCAGCAATAGAGTACGTTATGTAATTTTGGATCACTGGGAGTATGCAGTCACCGATATATAATATACATGTAAGTACTACTTTAGCTGCTCTTGGCACAGCCAGAAACTGACAGATCTAGGCTCTGTTCAAGGCATTAGAATTTGCGGTAAAAGTCAAAGTCAAAGTCTGTGCTTGCAGACTACCGCTCCCCCATATATGCCTTGGTATTTAGCCCACATGTTAATTAGGCCTTGATTTCACCCATTCACACATAACTCTTTTTATTCATTATTTGAGCAGAGAACAATGTTGACATTGCTATGGGTAAAAAGGCATGAAGTCTTAAGTGTGAACTAGGCCATTAGGTGACAAAGTAAATGTTTGGATAAGCTATTGTAGTTGTGCTATTCAGCCTTTCACAGGTTGAACATACAGGTATAGATATAGCTTGCATGTAGAAGGTCTAATGATTCACACCGTAGGGTCTGCAAGAATGTGAGTTGTAGACTACTACTAACACTACATTCTTCCTTACAATTTTTCAAAACATATTCAGGCTTTGTTCAAGTCAAACAAAGTCATTTAGCCTACATGTCAAAACAGTTGGCGCATAAACTGACAAGGTTTAGAAAAGTACCAAGTACATGTACGTGTAGCTACTGAGCATTGAGGAGCGTGTTGTTTGGGAGCTCCTACTTGCATATACAAGGTATGTACGTTAAGATTCAAAAGAGTGAGAAGGAAATTAAATTTAAATGAAATAACGGACATGGATTAGTGCACTTCCAACTCTCAGTAGACGATATGATTTTGAGGTGGAAAATACATGAACTTGAACTTGAAATAAGTGGAAATAATGGAACTTCAACTTGAACCTGAAAGGTAGTTTACTACATGAATTATAAGTCATTTTTATCTTCATTTCAATTAAAGTCAATTACATTCCCTTTAAAAACAGGCTTAGAATGGTAATCCAAGTTAACTGATTCCTTTCAAGTTTCAGCAAGACCTCAGATACTGTTTTCACACTGGCAATATTTTGCTTAACCCCGTACTATAGGTGGGGTTAAGGGGGGTCTTAGCCCCACCTATAGTATGGGGTTAAGCCTATTCCACTTTCTGTTCAGACTGGTTTTTACCAAAGTGGGCTAAAGTTGGCTAACCCCACCTATAGTACGGGGTTAACTAACCCTGCAAAATAGCAGGGCTAACTACGCAATTGTGGTGCTAACTCCTGCTAACCCCGCAATTGCGGTGCTAAGCAAATGAATGAGAACAGAAACGATAAATAGTCCGGTACTACGCAATGGAGCGTATCACAGCTGGCCAGATGCGAAGTATGTCCAATCGTAACATTAACGATATCCGGGGTTAACGAAATGCAGTGAGAACAGCGGGGATTTTCTTATTCCGGAATAGGCGATAGTACGGGACTAAAAACAGCGGGTGTGAAAAGCCAAAAAAATAGTCCGGGGTTAAGGATAGTACGGGGCTAAGCAAAGTACGGGGTTAAGCAAAACCAGTGTGAAAAGAGTATTACAGAACTCAACCAAAGCATGGAGATATAAGATATATATATCTCCATGACCAAAGCATAGCATTGCCAATGTGCTTCCCTTTAACACAAGGCAAAAACTAGATCAACTTGGTCTCAAAGTGGATCCAACATTACCTCCATTCCATTCCTGGCTTCTTCTCACAAAGTTCATCTTGTTTAGTGTGACCCACTTTGTGGGAAGCAACCCATCAGTTTCACTAGCGATGGGATACCAACCTATCCCATTTCTTCCATAATGTTGACTTTGTGAGACAAAATTTCAATTTCCATTCCCGCAGTATCTCATTCATAACTGAGGCAGGGCTGCTCAACGAATTTGAGTTTCGACAGGCCTTCAGCATAGCTTTTTGAAGAGTAGTTACATGTAGGCCCTACAGTTTAAAACATTGTCATCAAAGCTACCTACAATAGGGGTTGCAGACTTTAAAGATAGCAAGGAGTCCAAGGACTGAATGGCAATGAAAGTTCAACATTCTTCAAACTATCTCAAATGGTTTCTCATACTTTGGCAAGAGTATTGTCATGCTATCCAAACATTTGTATAAACTGGAGAAAAACAATATTACATGGATTCAAGAGTATAATAACAAATTTCAAGATTTAAACAAAAAAATGAAAATGCAAGGGCTAAATCGTTTCCTAAGTGACAGTTGATTTTTTAGAAGAAATACATGAATTAGCATAATGAATCTAATTTTAGTTTTTTTTTTCTCTACAATATTTAGTATCATTAAACATATGCATTTCATAAAAACAGTCATGAAATGATGCTTTGGTTTTTAAGTTCATTTCTTAAAGTGACTCGGTAACATTGTTGAAGGTTGATGAAAAAATTGCTTAATTTTTGTATGAAATGTTACTTACTATATTCCTTCTATTGTACTGACCCTCTGACATGCAAAAAATCCTGAAAAAATTCTCAAACCACGAAGATATCTATGGTTTTCTTTGAAGGAGTCGATGTATGACACCCTCTAACAGTGATTAACAGTAGATTCTCCCAACCGTTTTTCCATGAAAAAAAGACATAAAAACAGGCTATAAAAAAATTGGTCAACACTTAAATGCCTGGAATTGAATGTAGAGCCATTTTATTGCTTTGTGACGATTTCCATTCACCTAAAATGTAATTAAATTGTAATAATATAGTTGGGAGAATTAAGGAATCGATCAGATCAGTTTTTCCCAATTTGTACCATGGATAATGATCCATTTTAACTCAAATTTTCATATTATCTTTAATTGTACATCTAGCATTGAAGTCACTAATTACTGACCACTATCTCTCATCTGAACAATGTTACCAAGTCCCTTTAATTTTGGTACAATGCAATGAAGGAACTCTTACCTTCCACCAATAGAGAAATCTGTGATGGCAAAGAAGTATGATCGTAGAACGTTTGGTACCCTGAAAACTTCATCTCCAAAAGTGTTTAATCTCGTCAGCATAACCAGAATATCTGTAGCTGTCACCCAATCCTGTGAACAAAGAACAGATATAAAAAATGACAAAGATTAATTGCCTTGAAGTAAAGAAATGAGCCAAGGGCAAAAGCCAAGTAAACATTTTATGTATACTTTTTTTAAACAAATGTCGTTCTTGACAACCTGAAAGTTTGTTTTTGTCTAATTGCTTTGAATCGTTTTCTATTGATGATGCTCTGTTCTAGTCTGTTGTTTATACATTCTAGGTACATCATTTTTATTGACTGGATTCAAAGTATTGTAGTTCATTGATTAAAAACCGGTTAATAACTGGTCACCAGGTCCCCAGGAAAGAAACATCCACAAATTTGAATATATAATTAAACCTGTCTATTACAATATCTAATATGATCATGAGGATGTTAACTTAGTAGTGTTGCTAACTGATATCACATATATGTATGCATAGAGTTAAGCATGAGAGATACATCAGCTCACAAAACCAACAACGATTTATGCAAAAAGCATTTATCACTGCATGGAGTTTGAGCAGAGAAAGTTAATATATATTTGCTTTGAGCTACAGAAAGATTTCAAAATCCATCCGAACAACAAAGGAGGCTATCATTAAGATGGATGTTAATGTTTGTGTAATGAGCCAGAAAATGACGAAAGTGCTTCATATATACATTTACCGGTACCCTGCAATTGACCTTCAGTACATGTTATTTAAGTTCATGTAAGACCCCTACAAAACAAAATGATAGATCTGTCTACGGGAAATTGTAGCATTATTCTGGTAATGATGGTGATGCTCTGTACTTGTGCATTTGGATCCTTTGATGCTGTTTAATCCTGTTTAATTGGTTTCAGTTGTGCATGTACACATCTGTGTTGTAAGGTTGTGATCTATCTCCACTGCACTCGCAACTGAATTGTGGATGTCATTTGTATGCCAGACAGAAGGGCGTGAACAGAATATTTGGTTTTTAAAATTCCTTACTTTGAAGATTTGACTGTGAAAGTATTACAGTAAGCTATCATGATTACAGATTGAATTGTTGTGTTGATGTGGTATTAAAAAGAAATTCAAAACTTTTTGACTATTTTTTCTTTTCAAAAACGTGCATCCATTTGTGTCCTATCAAGAGTACAACAAAATCCAGTATACACTTAGTCCCGAATCAATTTCCCACCCATGATCTTTTGTAAAAGCAGAATATGTTCTAAAACACATGCATTGAACAGTTGGAACTGTATCTATAACACATACAATGTACATCCTTTAATATTCAAATCTAAAACTTTTCTGTCCAACCACAACTTGCAACAGATGCCAATGAACCAGCCATTCTCGTCTCAAGGCGACGTTTGACCTCTCATCAAATGTATACGACCCAAATAGGGTGTGGAGTGGTAATGAATTACGAGAATTCTTTCCTTGGACTTGATTGGACCACATGCAGTGCACCAAGTAGGTAAACCATACGAAACTGACTTTATGTGCAGTTGCTACGGTTACGAACTTGCCCAGTCTCTCAGCTCATAAAATGGCTCATCCCAGCTGTACTCTACAGGTACTTGTATATTCCAGTGCACAGTATACATGCAAGCTAGTGTATAACCACATGGCACAAGCACGTACAGTTTAGGAAGGTGAAGGATTATCACCACTTTTGAACCAATAGAAGTGCAACTTGAGATTTCTATCACAAAATCTACATCCCCAAAATAGTTATTTGTTTCAAGTTTTGGTCACTTTTAATAAAAAAAACTACGTTCAAAGATATATGAATATGAGTGTGGCTGAAGATTGTGGATAGAAAAATTATTGTTGTCATTATAGACACCCGTAGTACAACTACACAAAAACACTGAATTAATCTTAACCTTTCAAACTGCCCATCTCTGCTTCACAATACACTTGTATCCTTTTTCTTTGATCTTGCTTTTTCTCTCTTCTTCGATCACCCTCTCACTCAATAACTCCCTCTTTCTCTGTCTTTCATTAAGATACATGTATAGGCCCCCCCTCCCCTCCCCCATCTCAACCTCTCCCTATCCATCTTTCTTTCATTCTATCTGTCCATTTCTCTTTTCTTGTTCCAAACGGAATCACAGGCCCTTCACGCTGTCAGGGTGCAGCTAAATGAAAGACAACCATCATCCTTTTCTCCTTTTCCGTTCATTTCTATCCATTTCTATTCTAACTGTGTGCCCCCTCCCCTCTCTTTCATACTCCCCGTCTCTCGATGTTCATATCTCTCTCCATCTCTACCCATCCCTTTCTCCATTTCTCTGTCTCTCGATATTCATATCTCTCTCCATCTATGCATGCCCATCCCTCTCTCCATTTATCTGTCTCTCAATGTTCATATCTCTCTCCCTCTCTACCCATCCCTTTCTCCATTTCTCTGTCTCTCAATGTTCATATCTCTCTCCGTCTCTACCCATCCCTTTCTCCATTTATCTGTCTCTCAATGTTCATATCTCTCTCCGTCTCTACCCATCCCTTTCTCCATTTCTCTGTCTCTCGATATTCATATCTCTCTAAATCTATGCATGCCCATCGCTCTCTCTCCATTTCTCTGTCTCTCGATGTTCATATCTCTCTCCATCTCTACCCATCCCTTTCTCCATTTCTCTGTCTCTCGATATTCATATCTCTCTAAATCTATGCATGCCCATCGCTCTCTCTCCATTTCTCTGTCTCTCGATGTTCATAACTCTCTCCATCTCTACCCATCCCTTTCTCCATTTCTCTGTCTCTCGATATTCATATCTCTCTCCATCTATGCATGCCCATCCCTCTCTCCATTTCTCTGTCTCTCGATGTTCATATCTCTCTCCATCTATGCATGCCCATCCCTCTCTCCATTTATCTGTCTCTCAATGTTCATATCTCTCTCCATCTATGCATGCCCATCCCTCTCTCCATTTATCTGTCTCTCAATGTTCATATCCCTCTCCGTCTCTGTCCATCTCACTGTCCATTTCTCTGTCCTCATCCCAAACTGTCTAGGCCTGTCCTCACGAGCTTGAGTTTGACAAATAATCAAAAATAAAAAATTAGCGGCGATATTTGTTTGAGAAATATTGGTCTTGTTTCCAAAATATCCCGCTATTTGGGAAATAGCGGGCTAATATGCGCCCGTCCGAGATGAGCGTATCGGTCTGGTGAAGATGAAATTTTGAGCTTTGGGGTAATATCCTGAGTCTGATAATAGCGGGTGAATTCGAGCTGATGAGGACAGGCCTACTGAATACAAGTTGTCAAAGTGCAGCCATGGAAGTCAATCCTCAAGTTCAGAGGTCAAACCACACAGACCTCATGGCTGATGAAGAGCTAAATCCCGCCCATTGACAGATGACATTAAAACAGGAGATAAGCATGTTACCATACCAGCCTGTCTGTCTCAACTCCTCAACTGTTATCCCTAACTGGACTGGATGAAAGCTCTGGCAGGCACAGAGACCTGTCAGTAGCGAGTCTCTACAGTTTTGTAACGCATGCTCAACAACAACAACAACTGTTCTATGGTAAATTTACTACAATAAACAAGCTCTCTTAACTTTTTAACTCTACATTCATCACTTCATAATATTTAATAATATATAGTTATAATAACTGGATGTATATAGTGCCTTTTCCAGAGGATATACTGTATGTACATCTAACCATAAATCTAACCTGACCCTAAATCTAAACCTAACCTACATGTCAGACTCAAATAGAACCATGCATTAAAACATGTTAAACAATCCTGCATGTCCGTTAGACGGTAGTTTGACATTTCTCGCAGATATAAACATGTCAGTATGGAGTCTGTATGATTCTATAACACAAGATCCAGCAATACGTGTGTAATTTCTCTGGTAGCAACTACTCAGTCAATTTAATACATTAGCTTTCAGCCTAGGTCCGAGACGATACCCAACCCTAACCCTAAACCTAAATATAACCTTTAACTATGGCATAACCACATCTCTACGACCCCAAAAAAGTCCAGAGCAAATTTTATAGGAGCAAATGTCTGAGTACACAACTGGTTCAGCAGCGAGTCCTCAGCATTTGCTGCTAACTTGAACCAAATCCAAAATAACCTACAAAAACTCTCCATATTCAAGCTGTTAAAACACATCATATCTGTAGGTTGTTTGCCAAAAAACTCCAGTGACAACTTCTCTGCTGTCAATTTTCCACACTAACTGAATTCATTGCTTCAACACTGGACCAAACGCTAAACTCAACCGTAAGTGGTAACGATTAATCCTCATCCTAATGCTATATATTTGAAAATTGTGATGCAGCCTTGCTGTTGCGAGTATGAACGCGATCAGGATTCGGGGGTACAGATCTGTTGGTCCGGACTTAATCTGGATTAATAAAATTCACTTTAGGCAGTGAATATGAAAACTGGTTTTGATCAATTAAAGCAGTGAACATGAAATTTACCTGTAAAACGGCACTATTATCAAAACTCCTTGCACTCGGTCTATTTTCCAGCGTACTGAAAGCAATATTTCCTCCCGTGAGTGGCGAGATGTCGCTGAATTCGCTGGTGCAGAGCGCCAATGTTTCATCATCGTAGCTGACGTATTCGCTATCTGGGAGGTTGTAGGTTCCTCTACATGAGCCGCTGTAATACTGGTAGGGTATCCAAGGACAGTCCTGACACGTACGCTTGTAGATGGCAAAACTCTCCGGCCGCGGCGAGTAAAATTTCAGCCGAATGTATGTGATCTCAAAGGATTTACCTGGAAAGAAAAAGGAAGATAATTACGATTAAACCATTGGTTATTAGCTATAAAGCATTACTGAAAACGTATTTCATAATCCTAAAACTACAGCTTTGGAAGTTCTTATGAGGATATTAAGAGAGGTGGTTCTGCCCTCGTAGCTGTATCAAGAGATTCAAAGATCAAGGAAATTTTCCTTTTAGCCCCTCTGCTTAATATCATTACAACACTGTGCCTAATTATCTTTCAACACTCTTCCATTCATCACATTCATATACAAATGTATTGAGTAGATAGAATTAAAATTTACCTGGTAAAATTTTTATAAAAACCAGAATTTTTATAGCACTGTACCTAAAGAAATGTTGTGAACCACAAAAGTGTAGTATGATGATTCCTTTACTTTGTCTTTGTTGCATGAAACTTTCAAGAATTTTGACCATTCACAAAAAAAATTTCACACACATCAAAGTTGTCTGGTTTACGGGTAGGCCCAGAGCCATCCACACACAGAGTTTGGACAACTTGGTTTCACGTAGTCACAACATGGCATATACATGTATATTCTTTTGTTTTTGCTTGCCCAACAAAGTAGTATTCGCCATATTGTACCCAACCCAAACCGGGCTGGCCAACGTCTTTTAATCAACGGTTCATGTACATGTAGGTCCCGTATATATTGTGCAGTTAACAACTAAATTATTCATTTCATACCCTTACCAAGTTTTGTAATTACATGTGAAAAATTGATTTGTCCCCATTTATGTTTCTTGAGAATGTGAAATATCAAAGCTTAAAGGTAAAGACCAGTTATGGTCATGCGATTGCATTGTGAAAGAAACGTTGTGGAATCGATCAGAAAAGGTTGATCATCTAGCATCTAGCATCTGCAAGGTTCTGGAATCATCAAAATGATAAGAAATTTGGCCCATTCTTCGTAAAGTTACAAGCACTATACACAGAAAGATGTATATGGGACTACCCTATATATCTCACAGACCATGAGAGAAACAAATTTACCAAATATATGAATAAGTAGGCTGTTTCCCGGCAAATTTTTTATCATCATGTATTAGTCAAAACATATTCTTTCACATGATTGGTAATGAGAGCTTCCATTTCATTTTTTGAAATTGGGGCGTTTCCAATACTGGTCTTTACCTTTAAATCTAAAAGTATTCACCAAGGTCACAATTCAACCAGTCCACCTTTCAATCTTGAGTTCCAAGACACAGAAGAAAAAACATAAAATTTACAATTGGTAGGAAAAATTCAGTCGTTAACTGTATGCATCTGATTGGAAGGTTGGAAACTGCAACAACCTATGCCCTATGGGACACAGAGGCTTGTAGTGTGATGCTATCGCGTACAAGAGAAATTGGGTGTGAAGATAGAGAAAGATATGAGGTCAAATGCAGCAATGGGACCTCTCTGATGATCTACAAGTTTATGTCCCAAGCTCAAACTTGTATAACACAGGTCATATAAGACTGACTCCAGAGTGTTCACACTCACTTCATTCTCGCAATCATCAAATTGGCAACATTCATAATATTAATATTTGTATTTGTATAGTGCCTTTTCCAGAGGATACTAGGCGCTGTAAAACAATAGGCTTTGGATCCGTTTGATGTATCGTTCCATTTCACCACATTGTTGATTTCACATAGAGTACCGGTACATAAAAAGCAATATAAGTTTTCCTAAAGTAATGTAGGTAAAGTAAAAAAAAAGTTCTTTGATTCATTCAGTCTTTAAAAAGGAATGGATAAACTACTGCCAAACTTAACTTCTTGATTTTACTAGGAGGCCTGTGAAACTCACCATTTTGACCTCATTTACAGCTACTATTCAAACTTTCATATCATTAAAAAACTGTATCATTTCTGAACTCCTTTTCCATGCCATGCCTCTCAAAAACTTCTTGAGGATAATAGTATAGACTCATCTTCTCCCCGATCAGCTGACCTCCTTCACTGCGGAGGTCACACAGGGTCAGGCTGGGTGGGCCATGGAGACATACCTGATAATACTATGATAGCAGGGAAAGACTGAGTTGTGTCTCTTCTTACACATCTACACTGTATCATAAATGAGCAAGGGTCTTCTTTATGACAGGGGCTCGACCCTATATGCTCTCATGCAATACAAGTCTTGTGAGAAAGGATTGATTCATGTCTTTGTTAAAGAGGAATTCCCCTAAGAAAGGTGACATAATTTCTTGCAATACTTATGTATAACTGCTTTCTAAACACATTTGATTGAAAGGATAATGGGTGATTTTTAACTTTAAGAATTTTGAACAAGAAATCTGGGGAAAGTCTGAATTTATGAGAAAATGTATAGAACAAGTGAATAGCTACAAGGAAATCTTTTTACTAAATATTGATTTAAAAAAACATATTTGGACTTGGAGGAACCAACAAACAATTTTATACAAGCTTCATCATGAATTACCTGTAGTCTGAACGGCTATCATGCATGATTGGAAGCAGAAAGAGTCAGTTGGCGGCTAATTCTGGGTCAGGGTATAATGGCAATTTGATGAGGAGAGTAAACATGGATGTTTGAGTTCTTGTTTGCTAGATAAGTGACCCATTTGACCTTTGACCTTATATGAACCACTGCTAGAACAAACATACCAATTTCAATGCCCTACCCTTGATAGCTTTGGACAAAGAAAGAAAAAAAAAGCAAACAAAATTAAAAACACTATTTCTTCAGAAATCAAATATGATATATGATTGAAAACAACCATTAAAGTCTAATTGTATTGAAATTTTGGGAGAATTCTGAGGCTTGTAGGTAAATAAAAACAGTGAAGGCCTTTCTTGTTTCCTTTTTCGGGCAGGGGAGGGCTAAATTGTCAGGAAAATTTGGTTCAAAACCAAAATTCTCCCATTCAAAATGGTCTTGCAATACCCCTAGATTTGAAAACAAAAATCCCTGCAGAGCTAGACAGAAATTCTACATTAATAAATTCAATTGTTTATCGATTTCCTGTCGAAAACTAAACACAGAGAAGATACAAGGGGGTGTTAAAAATAGAAACCAAAACATCCCAAGTTTACAAACAAAATCTTGAGCACAGTTGTCATGATTTCTGTCAAACCACTTTCAATTTTGTGGCTTTTTCTAAATCAACCACCCCCCAAAAAACAGTTTCAGTGGTTAGATTGAAATTTCATCAAGTTTTGTTTGACTGAAAATTTGGGTTGTCTAAGAGCTGAAAACACGAAAGTCAACCCGGGTTTCTCATTCTTTTGAGAGAGGTACAATAGTTCTTGAGTCATGTTTCAGTTTCCATCCAATGTTTGAAAGATTGAAATTTGTAAATCTATCAACCTGACAATTTGTGAATTTAAGTGTTGAATTGGTACTTGCAAATTGTTTTATACATACATGTATGTATGTTGTTACAATTCCCTAAAATATGATTAAATTAAGAAATAACAGGCAACATTCATTGTTGATTAGGTTGTATGGTATCCATCAAGCTTTCATGGATCTTAATCAGTGGCACTGGCAGATGCAGGGTTATTCTTACAGGGGTATTGAACTTTATTTTCATTCTTTGTCAGAATCTGAAAAAGTATGAATTTTTTCTCTCGCTTGCAGTTTTCCAGCTTCCCGAAATCACTTATTAGAAGGGGTACAAGTAACAGAAATTAAACAAATCAAAACTTGTAGAGGAAAAGTTGTCTGAAAATCAATAACATGACAATTACGAGAAGGAAACATGCTCCCAATACTCCTACATGTAAATCAATTACTGCCTAGAACCATGGACCTGCTACATGTAGAATGTAGGCTTATATATGGTACATGTACTATTCATTTTTCACTTGTAAATTTGCTACAAATATACAAGCTCACAAGTTTTCTTTTGGTGTTTTGTCAAATAATGCACAATTCCATGACAAATTCAATGTTTCCATGCACTTGAAACCAGAAGCAGTTACGAAAGCTATCATATTTCAGTCTATAAACTACCACTTGAACACTTCCTGTGTTGATAAGTTTGAACTAGATCTTCCGACTTCAATTACCCTACGCTCCATTCCTTCCCGTTTTGATCAGGTGTTTTAAAGGTACTGTCTAACCATCCTGAAAGTCCTTCTTCTTTTGTCAGTTTTAAACCAGAAAAAGCCATTGTGGATTGTTCACTGAAGTAATGTTCCATGAAGAAGCCAAGGGGGCCTGGGGCACACCCTCCCACAAAAATACTGGTGACCCTACACCTGTAGGTGCCCTCTCCCCACAAAAAAAGAAACATGATTTTAAAAGAAATACAACAGAAAATAGAGAATGATCCTTCAATACTTAGTAACTCTGCATTTATAAGCATTGCAATGCATCAACTGTCATATTTTTATACGGCAAAATGCATTTTTTTGCATAGTGTCTAAACTCCTTCACAGAATACTTGATGTAAGCGTATGATTTTACATGCTTCACTCCAATAAAATGGCCATGTTCTTCCTAGACATCGGGTAATCCAATTAACTCATCAAGTTGAGTGTAAACTTAAAACTGAATTCTTGTGAGCAGACATTTTTATAATACTATTCAACACCTTTGTTTTTCAAGATATATATGCACATTTTTAAATACAGACACATTTCATCAGATATATGTGACTTTAAAAATTGAAATATAACCTGCAAGAAGTTGCCGAGAACACTCCATTACATTTTGTGGAGGAGATAGTAGGAAACCATCCTAATTTTGAACTTTGATCATGTCACATTTTGCTTGATGTCTCCACAACACCTGTCAGTAGCCTCAGCGCCTTTTGCAACGCTTTGTTCAACGCAAATCCAGCAGTAATCCGGCAGAATAGGAAAATAACAGGCCAGGTAATATGGGCCAGATGACTAAACACCAGCACGAAGCTGAGCAGGGGACTTACTCATTGACTCAGCTTGTGCAAGGTCTCACCTCAAACTGACACGACCGACGACAACATAAGTGAAGCCTACCCTACATCCTTGTTCAGAGAATTAATACTTGTCTTT